CGGGTGTATATCACCCCTCTCTCTCACTCTCTCTTTCCGATGGCTTCTAACGAGAACATATGCAAACATATTCCCATGCACGGATAGATCATTCGCATAGCATCGAAAGTATAGTCAGAGCCATTAATGGAAATTTCAATCCGATATCATCTAGTTTAACACTCACGAGGATTGAGTAACCCCTGTACAGCTGCAACAATTCGCACAGGACCCTATCTATACACCATATACATATAGTCTGGCACCATTTGTTTCTTGCTTAATTATGTCCTGAAAATTAAACCACTCGTGCTCACGGTTCCCACCCAACCCTGCAGCACATCTTCGTACATTAATCACAGCTCGGTGCTAGGGAACCTTATCAAAAATGTATCCTTTCACGTGAGACATTAGCAAAAGTGGGTCTTGCCTTTTTTTACTTGACAGACAAGCAAACAGCTGCGCTTCACAGACTTTTCGGAAAGGACGTTGACGGTTGACTCTTACCTTTTTTTAATTTTTTTTTTTCTTTTTTTTTTAATCTTTTAACCTGGACAAGACGGCAGACTGGTTAACGTCACGGGGTACAGGACGCTCATGCACGGATAATGTGGTTTCGTTTAAAAATCGCAAGAGAGGATCCTCTCAAGAGAGTCAGAGGACTAGGCAAAAAGGACCTGGGTTATTTGAAAAAAAAAGAAAAAATTTCGTAAAGTGACAAAAAAAATAGCACTAACGGGTCGACAAGTTTACAAATGACGAGGAAACGTTAACCTGCGCTGTTTGAGTGCTGGGTAGTAAACGACTGGCAGGACTTTATATGGCGTGTTAAAGAGGCGCGATCGCCGGGTAAAGCGCGAAACTAATTTAAGGCCACTCTTAAGGATCTCCGGTAGTTTGAGAGTTGACGCATGCTCAAGTTCTTTTGTGGTTCCAATGGCCCGAGGAGTCGCACGGAGGACTTTGCTAGGGAAGAATGATCCTGGCGGAGAAAGAGCAACGGAGAGTAAAGAGATGCTGAGCGGTAGAGCGAGTGAGATATACTATCACGTATATCCTCACACAACGGAGACAGGTTATGTTTGTCGTACTGGATATCGTGGCAAAGGTGTCGTAGCAATTATCAACGAACGTGTATAATTACTTGCAGGTAGAAACAACTGTGTTTCCCATTACCGAGATACCGCTTTGCAAATTGGCACGCGTTTGGGTGGCCCATTTGTTCTCGCTTAGTAAACCCAGAAAGCGCAGCCAAGAAAATCGTCAAACAACACAGTACCGAGATACGAGTATACACTACTGGAGTAATAAGTCCTGCATAGGTAATAATAAAAGCAAGTAACTTTAAGGTCCTATTGCTCCACCTAAGATCAAGGTCTCGACAGAGGTAAAGAAAAAAACGAAAAAATAAGCATCAATCGAAACTTGTACGTTTGATTTGAAGAATTTGTAATATTCCATTCGCACCGCGTGCAGTTGTCACACGGGACAGTAAACGTCATCCTAGGTCTTCGAGAGGGATAAAAAGAAGAAATGTCAAAGGCGGTTCCTAAGGATGAAGGGCTGTTTGAAAAATATCAACACTCCCTCCGCGATAATATCTCTTGACACGAGATACGCTCATCGTCCTAACAGACTGTTGCTCTTTCGCTGTACTGTCATCAATTTCAAATGTTTCTGCTTTCGTGAGAAACTTTGCAAAACAAAACACCTCCAGGCCTCGTACGGTAGTTCGATCAATAGTCTGCGCCCTGCTGTACGATCCCGCACACGGACCGATCCGTCCTCCGGAAAACTTTAATGCAGTCAATTTATTGGAAACTCAAGTCCCCGTCCCTTCGCTCGATAATAATTGTACAGTGTACTCTGGGCTTGCGTGACGTCATCGCGGTAGATGTACCTACCTACAAGCTTCGAGCAGTGATACAGCAACGTCAAGCCTTACAGCTGCGGTAGCAGCGATTGAATTATCAGTAAATCTTGTTAACGGTCTTCGATAAACCGTCGAGCGTTGAGTTGCGCATCGGCCGCCCTTGTAAATTTCTAGCAATACCAAACGGCGCTCTGTGTATACGTGTAGACTTTGGATTAACGATCAACCGTAGATAATCCAGCTTGGAGAGACTCGCGGGAAAGTCGAACGAATCGGGAAACAATTGAGCGGGCCAAGTGTCCGTCGTACCTTATACTCTGGCCTACCCGTGAGCCACTGGATCGGAAATGAAAAACAGTCGTCGACCGGAGGAAATAAAAGAGCGGCTCGTACCCGCAAGGTTAGCGTAGTAAGGGAGGACAATCGAAAAAGTAGAATATGTCAGGCTGAAGGGTCGTCGCTCCAGCCTTTATTCCTTCATCCCGACAGCAACTTACTCTTAGCCAGCGTCCTCGAGTTTTTCGAATGTATTGTTGTTAAGCGGGGAAAATCGTAACGAATAAAGTTTCTCACCCTGGCGGACGATTGAATTTATCGCCCGGCCTTCCTGTAGGTGGACGATAACGTCCATTCTTGCCGCTACTTTTTCCCACTTCCTTCGTCACGACTTTTGGTTGGAATGTCGCGTCCCATAGCCACGGGCTGTCGTTCGGAGACGCGACGTGGACGTTTCCTCGTAATAAAAGGCGAGACAATGGAATCACCTAGGGTTGGTATAGCTGAAGGGAAATTGAGGATGAGCGACTGTGCTTCGGGCTGCTGAGAAGAAGGAATAGGAACAGGTGGGTCTCTGTGCATACAGTAGACGGTAGAGGTTAGTCGGTGCCTGAGTTGCGGCTGCTAGACGGCTATACCTCTTTGCACGCGTACGTATATGTAAACAGATATCTTTGGCGCGACACTTAACGTCTGAAGCTTCATAAAGTAGCACCTGGGATACGTGCGACGTGTAATAAAATGACGCAAAAGTAGCCTCGAGTGCTACCTAATATTTAGCGGTCCGCTCTCGCGCATTTACCTGTTGCCAGAATAAAACTTGGGTACGGACCTTTATGCTCGGCTCGCTTGATACCCCAAATTTTTAAACACGACTTGGTTTCATGTTGAGGATGTAAGCTTCGTGTCTTTTACGTTTTTTTTTTGAATAGCGATTTCTGTGTACCATAGAGAAAAAGGATAATCCGAGCCATTCTATCGTATGTATAGATATATGGTGCTGGTTGATACGTTGGAAGTCGACTCCTTTTCATAGTGGAAAAGTGCTGTACACGCAAAACTTTTACAAACGGATATACGTAGGTAAGTATCTACATCCTGTGTGAAGAGGATATCGACCTGGCCACCTTGATGCTTTCGCTTCCAGGACTGGCATAGGATCGCTTTAGGAACACTTTGAAGTCTCTACCATATGCATAATATAGATATCAATGGGATAGACACAATTTCAAAAATAATTTCATGGATTTCTCCACGATTGTACGCCAGTGCTGGTGTATTGCTCAGTTTCGTTAAAGCGATGCAATTTTACTCCATCTATATATTTTTTGGTCTCTTTTATCGGCCTGAATCTCTCGTCGATCTCGGTGACAGGCCAAATACCCACAAGTTGCTGATTCCGTCGGCTATATTTTTAGGAAGTCGTGGTTTCACTTTTAAATCTATTAGAAATGTATGAGCGTGGAAATTTTTCAAGAATATATATCTATATATATATATATATATATATATACACACACCAGGAATTCATAAAGGGCAAAAGTTATTACGATATTATGTAATAATTGAACGATACCTTTGAAAAGCGAAATTTTTCAAGAATATATATCACCCACAAGTTGCTGATTCCGTCGGCTATATTTTTAGGAAGTCGTGGTTTCACTTTTAAATCTATTAGAAATGTATGAGCGTGGAAATTTTTCAAGAATATATATCTATATATATATATATATATATACACACACCAGGAATTCATAAAGGGCAAAAGTTATTACGATATTATGTAATAATTGAACGATACCTTTGAAAAGCTATCCCGGCCTGCTAACTTTTCCGTTTGAATTATATGCAGTTATTTATTTATTTTGTGGACCGGCTTGGTGGAAGCTACTGAAATATTTGGTGAACGTTTCAAAGAGAAATCGCGTCCTGGCGCAAAGGAAGCCGCTTTTCCAAAACAGCGCCGCGACGCTTCTCGAAACGATCGATGAGACGGAGCTGGCTCTATAAATGTTTAATACATACTTTAGGAAAAGTTTTTCTTGGCCGTCTGTCTCTTTTCATTCTCCCTTTCTCGCTTTACTACTCGATTCTCCTGCACGGTAGGACGATAACACGATAATGCGGATAAATAATTCTAACGACGGAGAGTAAGTATAGGAGGGTAACGATCGTATCGATCTGTCCAATCGGGTTACAGAATTCTCTCTTGGTCTCTCACTGACTAACCAAACCTTCAAACCTTCTCATTCCTTCTCTCTCTCTCTCTCTCTCTCTCTCTCTGTGGCACTTTCCTCTTTACCAGGCTTCCCAGTCTACCTCGCTCTCGTTTAATTTATTTCCAACATTTTTCTTTCCTCGCTAGGACTTTACAGAAATGGAATGGCAAACCCTGCAGATACTGGCACGTATACGCAGTTACAGAGGACGAAAAGGAACGAACGAAAAATATCCTTTGACAAAAGAAGCACGAAGCTTGACTTATCTAGCAATAGGTTGTAGACACGACAAAGTGGTCGTCAACGATATCTATTTTATATTTCCATATCGGCAGGAAAAACGCATAATGGATATTCAGACAATACAGTATTTTCGTTACAGAGATAAAGGAAGGCCTAATATGTTTAACAATCCCAAAGCAAATTTTAGAAGCGTTCGGCTTACTGAAAAGTGGTAAATAAATCAACGAATTACGTTACAGCGTTGAATATCGATTTGAGATTGTGTCGGAATTAGAGAAATACAAAAGCTATGCCATCAAAAGTTGAACGCCGAATAAAATCCACCAACTCGTTACTAAGGGTTGAGGATCTTGACCGTGAACTATTATTAACCATAAAAATTAACGATACATGTTTCATTGTCTGTGCAGTACCTATATCCCACATCGTTGCCCAGGTCGGACACCCTACCTATCTTCCGTGTGACATATCAACCACCCACGAAGGCGATTTTGTACATCTAGTGCTATGGTACCGCGAAGATCTCGGAACGTCGGTTTACAGGTAAAAGGCTAATTTATATTCGTATAACTTAAGTGTAGATTAAACTTTCCTCCACGTCCTTGAAATTCCTGCCCAATATGTTCCAGCAAGTCTCTGGAGACGCTGGCAACTCTCCGATTTCTTGATCCTTCCTTGACTCCTGCCGCTTACAGCGTGAGAATTCTCGCGCGCGATACACCATCGACAAGCAGGAACATCCTTGCGCATCCCCAACATCCTATTCCTTTGCTTCCCTTATCCTTAAGTCAGTATTGAATTTCTCCTCTTCAGACAAGGTTGACCTTATCTGAACGCTCCCAGGATGAAATCGAGATAGAACTTCCCAGCATCCGTCCGACGCATTCTCTTGCTGTTACAGCGTAGACGCGAGAGACCGGAACTTCGGAGTTGCCGAAAGATGGTCCGACGACACCGTCTTCTCGAACAGGGCGACTTTCTTGCCCGACAAACAGCCGGCAGAACTTGGCGTCGATCATATAAAAGAAGAGGATGCTGGCATTTACAGATGTCGCGTGGATTTTCAGATCGGTCAGACCCGCAACTCCAAAGTCAATTTAACGGTTATCGGTGAGTTTGGTGAATGAGAACGACACCTCGTGTGCTGTTTAATGAATAACTTTTTTTTTTTCTTTCCACTTAAAAAAAGTTTACAATATCGGATCTCGATGCTTTTAGTCTCCTTTAATGGGGCTTCCGCGTTTAACGATGTTGCCAAGGAAAAAAGAGAGACTTAACGAAATAAAGGGTGAAGTTGTATCGGGTGGGTGGTGAGGTAGTATTGAAAAGTTATAATAAACCATCCATTCTATTTATAACATTACGGAGCCAACTGGGATCGGAGTTTCCGGACGCGAGAGGCAGAAAGAATTTCCTCGTGGTAATGAGCACTCTCGGTTATGTGCGTGCAAGTAAACCTTTTTCCGGTTGAATGCCAATTAACGTTCTGCCGTCCCTCGACTCAATAAATTCCGAGTCTAAGTATCAGTATCGATAATTAGAGTTTGCTCGGAAGAAAAATCTCCTAAATAATTTCCTCGAGAAATTTAAATCGACACTTTTAATAATCCATTCGGAGCTGCCCACTTGCGAGCCTACCGAGGTTTCTACTTTGCATTGCTTCCGTTTGGTCACGTACAAAGACGTACATCCACCTTACTTACCTACACCGCTACCTACCAGCCGAGCAACCACAGGAACTGTTTAATCAGTCCATTTATTTTCTCTTGCGTGCTTCAGAATTGGCTCGCGGCTCCTGGACCCAGCATCACGCTGTGGGAAAGAATTTCTTATAAAAAACGGCCCTTGGGCTTCATCAAATATCTTATACGATATATATTTCTTTTTATTGTATATGTATAATACTAACCAATAATCACCAATGGGGTATCAATGTACACTGATCGAATCCATGAGGAATATCAAGAATACATTAATTCACTTCATCTTCTTTTATTAGTTCATCGTGTACCGCACAATCGGTACTGGGAAATTCGAGGGATCCATCGTTTTATCCTGACGACAAAGACGATCCCGTTAAGTGCTCGCTACAGGTACCACAGGAAGTGTCTCGAAATTCAATTTCGACATTCTCTGGGGCGAACTTCGTCAAAAGATCTTATGCTCGACTTATATTGTCTACAGACGTATCGCCCTCTCAATCTGGCCCGAGCCTCGACTTCACGTAATCCAAGGCACTCGGTGTAATAAGCCAAGGACATGCGAATTCTCCTGAATTGCGTTTAACGCTCCAAATGTCGGGCAGGGACGTACCGCTGTATCAAAGTGCCTGTGCGCCTGCATATAGATTACCATCGTGGATCCATATACCCGGTATAACGCGTAACAGGATACGCAGACTTTTATCCCACGAAATTCGAAGACGCCATATTTCTTACATCTGCGATAAGCTCCTCGAGTTGCCTTCGGCAGGTGAAAAGTATATTAAATTTTTTTAATTTTCTCTGCGTCGCTTTGTATGACATATAAAAAATAGGAAAACGGCGGGAACGGTGATGAATTTATAATCCACTCAACAGGCAGGATTAATTGCTGGAATTGAAAGAGTCATTAATCGAACCCCGTCAAGGCGTCATTAGGATTATCCTGGAGCTTAGCGACCGTTGGACGGCTCCATCCACCGCGACGGAATGGACATTGTGCTCGTGTAGAGGGACCACTGAGTTACGTCAGGGTTTCCACAGAGTATATTCCAAGTATAACTTCCGAGATTCAACAGCGTCCCGACGCGCATTATGCAATTCCATGTATCGCCGAAGTTGAGCCTCCTACATCTCTTTCGCGCGCAACTTTGAGGTTATACCCAGGGTGCCGCCCCTGGGATAATTATTATAATCGTTACCGCGGGCGAAGAGTCCCAACGAGATTTTATCTCGACAATTTGTTATATTCGGCTCTGCCAGCTCCAACAGAATCCAGAATCTGGACCTAGCGGACTCTTCTTACAAATTTTCAGAACAATGGCAAATCTATTGGTTATCAGTGTAATAGGGAATACAAACCGGATGTCAGATTGCTCCCTATAGGATCAAGTGTCCGGACCCCGATCTGTGTACTTTATATTAAGCAAAAGGATTGTCAGATAAGGAGTAATGGATGCGTTGAATGTAGAGCCATTGTAACCCGTTACTTTCGAATTGTTCGAATCAAATGACCAAGCTGGGTTAATAATCTCGTTAAATTTCTAGCTGCTACCTCGATCCTCTTCAGTTCACCCTCTATCCTTCTGCGTTACGTCTATGGTACTTGTAACCAGTTACGATAGGATAACATAAGCTAGCACACGTGAATCGAAATGATGTTCCATAGCCAAATCTATAAAGGACTGTATCGTAAATTTCAAAATTTCATATGTATACATATATACGTACATGCAAAGGCACCTTAGTGACCTAAAAATTTGAATATAATGCATCCATCGTAAATCATATCCGGCATGCGAAATCTCTCGAGTCCTTTTTCCTACTTTAGGTTATATATGAATAACTGGACAAGATCGCCATTCTTTGTGCTATATATATATATATACATTTTCGTGAGGTAGCATTGTCGTGAAAATACCTCCGGATCGAACCTGTGAAGTAACCTTAAGGCCACGTCACAGCGGCGACGATGTGAATACGACAAAGCCAGCATTCGCGTTTACGATCCCCGACTTCAAGGGGAATTTACATCGAAGCGAAGCTCCACGTCGAAAGTCGAACAGTCGCAGTCACTTCGTTACCCTCGGCAGCTTTAAGCGATTTAGTAGCGAGTTCCGTTAACCCGACAGTGTCCTGGTTTCCTTTCACCGCGGGCAACCCTCGACCCACCGGTACCGGAAGTGTCTCTTCGCAATTCCAATCCCAGGAGCTTCAATCAGCTTGCCTTAACCTCGGTGTCTTTTGAGCTAATCACTAATTCCATTATCGGCATCTAATTGTCTATTATCAATGTTCAGAATTGAAAGTAACTTTCTTTCGTCCTTTTATACTTATCTTTTTTTCCTTCCAAACGTTATCATTCTTTTAATCGAACAATGCCCCGTGATATCAGCCAGCCCTATTTCTTTTTGACTCCCACCCCGATTCTAACCCCGTGCTCTCCCTAGGTAATCAATTTCTACCCGAGGAAAACGTGCCTCGCTTTCATCAGATGTTTCGGGCTGCATTAAACGATCGTTGAAAAGTCCGTCCCTACTAGATAGCAGGAGCAGCAGTCCCTGTTTCATTTCCTTCTTATCGGTATCTGACTATCGTCGAAACCTCATCGCGATGCGCCCATTTCTCACGCTGAATACCATTCTCTGCCGCAGTTCCGCCCCAGAAAATCGTGATACTGGACAACTTTGGGGCCGTGCAGAATGATCTGGTCGGACCTTACATGCAAGAAGAGGATTTACACTTGTTCTGCGACGTCTACGGCGGTGAGTACCTTGACTGTGTAGTTCGTATTAACATTGTCGCTCGCTTTACGACGGCACGGCGGATTGATGGCTCGACTTGGAATTTACAATTGTATCCTGGCTTCGTCCGACATGAAATTCCGGAAAAGTTACGTCACTGGACAGCGTATGTGGAAGGTGGTATCGGCCGACGTAGGAAATCTTGGAAATGCGAGTTTAGATTACTTTCGACTGCCGATCTAAAGCTCGTATCCCTCTACACGTGGAATCGATACTTATACGTGACTTTAGGACGGGATAGAATATTAAGAAAGGACTGATATGACACTGGTCACTATTTCTTTTTAGTTTTATAGTATTTTTCATAGACGATTTTTCTCGTGAAGTATATATATAGTGTATGTATGATACGGGTAGATCACTGTCACTGTCACTTTTAGTTGTTTGATATTTTTTTTTTTTTTACAAATTATACACTGTCGAATTGAGAATTTTTTTGGACATTTTTCTTATCGGCACTTGACCTAATTTTATTCGTGTAACGCTGAACGATTTTCCCTGTAGGCTTATGATTACGTTTTTTTTTTTTTTTAGCAAACACGCTCTCGGTTGTTCAATCTCTACGGTGATTTTGTTTAATGTTACCGGATTGTAACGCGGGCTCGATAAATATGAAGAAATTAAAAACCTATCACAGTCGGAATACGCTGTTACGTTAAAATCGACAAACACTCGAGGCACCGCTTGGTATTATCCATTTATAGCTCTTTGGGAGTTTTCAAAGCACGATCGGCGTCTCACGTAATTTTCAGTGGAGGAGGAGGAGGAGCTTCGGCGTCGTGATATAGACGGGGGGTGTCTATGGGGATGCTCTTGAAAGTATACGAACCCAACCGAGTGGAAAATACGATCAGGTCGATTTTGATTTTGCATTTTTGGAAAATTTTAACAGGATCCGTCAGTCCTCATATTGTAACGGCTCGTCTGAATGCTCATCTGAACAAATTATATATGGGTTATATAAAAATTGTATATAACGTTTTATATACGAAAATAGACATGCATAACATATATATAATAAATAATTCATATAACAAAAAAAGGATCGTTATATACTGCAATTCAATATTTCAATGAAAAATTCCATGTAACAGGTATATTTTGATTACATGCTATAGCACGTCAAATTGATTTTTAATTTTCCGTGCAGCAACAATTTGTAGGGACGTGAATTGACGTTTCGGCGGACAATAAAGTTAAATCGACGTTGTTCGCAGGTAAACCATCACCCACGGTTTCGTGGTACCACAACGATAAGCTTGTAAATAATAAAAGTACCGTCATACGAAATGGCCTGATACGGAGTGAAATTCGTATAATGAATTTGGGCAGGAACGACGTGCATTCCAAGCTGACTTGCAATGCAACGAATAACAATATGTCGATGCCGTTATCCTCGACTGTCCGTGTGGACATGAAATGTAAGTATTTACGGAAAATTTACGGGAGCCAGAATTGTTGAAAATATTAAATTTGAATAATAATATATACATACACCCGCTCTCAGCGCACGACCACAGCTAGTCGGACTGGCCGGCTCGCTGGCTCGCGGTTCCTCGCTCGATATTATATACCTGCTATACGATATATCTATATACAGAGTTATTCAGGACGAAAGCGCTAACCGAAGTTAACGCGTCCGTTTGATTTCTGTAGTGAAGCTAACTTCAGTCAGTCCATTTTTCCTTAATAATATTCTGTGTATATAGATATATATACATGGTATAGAACTTTCATTTATACGAATATAACGCGTTAAATATAACTGCTCAATTTTGGGGATCTACAGCCTCCCGACTACCTTGTGCAGGTTAACGAGCGATGTTCAGGCGGTCGCTTGCGAAAGAAGCAACGAGAAGTCAGCCGCAGAAAATTCTATTCAGGACGCGATCTTCGCGTTCCACGTACATATAAATTGGGTGTAGTACAGATCGCTGGCGATATTTTGTGTATTATTTTGTTTGCTCCCTTGTCCCGTTCCCTTTGTCTCTTCCGTCCAACGTAGATTCTTCTTCGAAGGGGAAATCGGCGAGCCGCAGTGCGGAAGCAACCGCAGACACGGACAGTCGTGTCCGTGACGAACGTAGATACCGCGGGCTGCGGCAGGTTGTTCGCGCAGTGAAATCAAGATGGACGATACAATTTAGAAAAGTTACGCTTCGGGGGAGGGTTTCGAAGCATCTAACCCCTCCTGCGGGATCCCCTGCATTTTTCATGAACCTTAAACTTTCCCGACGCGTTATAAAAATAACTCCGGCTGAAAAAAAAGAAAACAGCCATGAAATTTCAAATACGCGATATCTCTCATTCTCCAGATCTCCCCTTGGCGAAAATTGATGATGAGCCGTAACGTCTGGTTATCCAACGTAGGAGATGGTTGTGCCAGCTCACAAATCCACTTTGAATTGAGAGACTGCTCGCTAATACACCCTATGGCCGTACCTTCGTAAAGGCCCTATGTAACACATTCGCATGTACCAGATGCCCTGCCACCAGTCACGTGTATCAAACTTACACGAAAGGCACTATACGCACACGAGCGATTTGACTGCTCTACCGGTGCGCCTTTTACCCCCGGCTCGCACTTTGAATTTCATTATCCACAGGGAAATTGGATCCACCGATCAATTACCTTATTCAGCGCTTCGACGCCATGCATACGAAATCCTCACGGACGATTAGCGATCGTCCCTAAGATCATCTTGAAAAAATCTCAGTGGACTCCTCATCTCCTTTGTATACATCCCTGACTATGTAAAAGACACAGGGATATACATATATACCTATCAAGTAACAATAGCAAATCGTTATCGTGTAAATCCTTATTCGAATTTAGCTTCAGGCCCCCTTTCACCTTTGCATACGAACGATCGGCCACCTGCCTTGTATTCCCTGAGCGTCTATCAACGTGTCGCTCTAACGTGGGAGTCTCCTGAGACTAAGGCGGATGTGACACGGGCCGAATATTCTCGTTAGAATGGCTTTTTAGCCCAACCACGTCGAGCTGTGCTCCACTCTCGAGATCGATAGTCCGACGTAGCCCTTTACGTCCCTGGACTCTCCCTACCTATCTACCTAACTATCTCTCTCTCTCTCTCTCACTCTCTGTCTCTCCACTGACTCTTACTAACCTTATAATTTTCGAGGCAAATAATGGCACGAACGCTGCACCTTTAGTCACACTTTTCATCCAATTTCCTCTCATCTTGAAAGCCTTGACTTCTTATCTCAAAGTGAGGTACTTAGATTGAAGCACCCTTTCAAAGCGACTACTTTCCGTGCTAGTCAAGGCCTTACAGCCTGACAGCGTTTATATGTCCGTTTAGCTGATAACCCAACCGGATTCTATACCCAGCGGTAGACAGTGATTTCACTCTCGATAGGTTGTCCACTGTGTCCCGTATCGACTTTCTGGCATATATTCGACAATCAGTTCGATGTGTCAAATCGTTTTTCGATGGGATCTAGCTGGTCCGTGAATCGATAGAGGACGAGCAACTCGTGCCGTAGACTTAACCGAGGTAGTTCAGGGCGAACATTTTCTGCGGTCTACTGCATTATGCATTTATGCACCCCCCGTGCACGGGAGAAGCCCTTCGTAACTTTTAAATTATTTAATACCTATTAGCACCTTAAAGAGAGCTGTTTACTCGTCCGCAGTCCTCGTTCAGCGAAACCCGACGAGATCGCTGCACGCCGGATATTTGATTTCGTTCTTCATATCCGTCTTATGTCTCAGATCCTTGTTTGCGTCTTTACACAAATGAGGGTCGTTCCTTGAAATTTAGAGTTTTTAGCGTTTTTCTGCTTTTTCCCCTAATGAGATCCGATTGCCAAAGGAAGAAGGACGATGTTCAATCGCTCTGTAACAAATAGAATTTATCAGTGCCAATCGATGCTGTGTATGGCAGTATCTTCTTAATAAAATAAAAGAGGTAACGATTAAGCGTACGTCTATTTTTAGTGGAACCACTAGAAGTTAACATAATCGATGCCAATCAGCCGCTGTCCGCTGGAAGGAAGTACGATCTGTTATGCAAAACGAGTGGATCTCGACCGGCAGCCACTGTCACTTGGTGGCGCAATGATCAGCGATTGGTGGACGCCAAGGAAACCGTAAGTGCGCTATACTCATCTGACAAATGACAGGAAAAAAGGAAGCTATCATTCTCCACCTAAGCACCGATTCATTCCCATTCGTCCCACCGAGACAATATTCGAGTCTCCGCAAACAGGGCCATTCTCGAATGGCCTAGGCCGATTTAGCCAGAACTAATTGTCCCCCCGTAAATAGTTCGGAAAGTAATTCAGCCTCGCTCCTGGCTCGCTCGTCAATTACATCTGCAGACGTGAAACGGCGGTGCCACGGAAACGTCCATAAGTGCGACTTCCGTCTTATGTTAAGCTCGTTTAATTGGAATTGGAAATTGCAATTTCGTCGCACCGGGCCTGCCTCCTAGGAACTTCACTGGCGGAAGTTCACCGGCGGAAAATGTAATAGAGAATTCCGGTTTTCACTGGCGCAGTTCTAGTCCGATCGATGTCCTACTCTCGTTTGCTAGTCATTTACTTTTTTTTCTTCTTATTCCTTTTTCTTCTTTTTTTTTCATTTCATTTGTCCTCTCTTCCCTTCCTACGCTTTCTATCCTTTCCTTCCTTCCTTCCTTCCTTCCTGGTGCCGTTCCTCGCTTCCATTCGTCTCTTTTCCTTTGCTTCCTCTCCTCTCCTTCTCCCTTTAACCCCACGACAACGAAAAGCCGCTTTGATGCGACTCAGAGGAGACGCTAAAGACGGCTAATCGGACTTCCTGAACGTTCGTCTGCCATGGGGTATTGTGCTTCCAGAGATCCAGCGACGGGAATACAACTACAAGCATTTTGTCATTCATGGCTACCGAAGCCGATGCCGGCAAAAACTTATCCTGCCGTGCGCAAAACCCGATTATGAGAACAGAACCAATAGAACACCGTTGGACATTAGAGATACAGTGTAAGCACACAAGATCCAAACAGTATTTCCTTTTTCTTGGTTTTATCTCTCTTTTGGTAGATCCTTTCTGACACAAGTCGTACCACTCTGAGAACCTTCCGACCACTCCAGTTCTTTAACATCACTCTCGCACTTCCAGACACACCTGAGACGCGAATACAGCTGGGCACGTCCCTCAATCCAGATGACATACGCGAGGGGGCAGATGTTTACTTCGATTGCCTAATACGAGCCGAACCACCCGTTTACAAAGTAGAATGGCGACAGCAGGTATGATCAATTACTATGAGTAGAGTCGCCTTGAAATTTCTTCGACGCTGAGAGTGCGTAAGCGCTATGGAAAAAAGAAAGAAAAAAATTCAGATTATTCTTGGCTCGTCCAAAGTCTTTTTTTCTTAAATACAGTATGCTGCTCACCTTTTCCCAGAGCCGTCGTCTTTTTTCTAATTTCATTATAACCCAACGGAGCATTTGCAAATCGCTCGAGGCCATTACTTCTGTTGCAGGGAAAAACTCTTAACCATAATATTACACAAGGAATAATAATAAGCAACCAGAGTTTAGTACTGCAAGGCGTCGACAGAAAGAGTGCCGGGAATTATACATGCGTTGGCTACAATACCGAGGGCGACGGGGAGAGCGCCCCTTTTTATTTAAACGTTACGTGTGAGTATAATGCAGCAACCTATGTCAGGACATTAATTAACGGAACCAACTGAGCGCAGCGCTGCACCGTCAGAGCTACATTTTATTAAAGTATCCTCAAATAGATGGTTTCACGTTTAAATTTACCATCCACATTGCCAACCCATGCTAATGCCATCGACATTTCATCCACGCAGTCGCACCTACTTGCAAATCAAATCAGACCAGGATCCACGGTGTGGCAAAGCAGGAGAAGGCCAATATAATGTGCAAGGTCGATGCAAATCCTTCCGAAGTGCAGTTTCGCTGGACCTTTAACAACTCGGCGGAAAGTATCGACGTTGCCGCTGGGCACATAGCGATGGCTGGCACCTCCTCAATCGTTTCCTACACCCCCATGACGGAATTGGATTACGGCACTCTTCTCTGCTGGGCGACAAATAGCATCGGACATCAGCGCGTTCCTTGCGTTTATCACATCATTCCCGCAGGTACGCTCACAAGTGATCGTCGACCTGAAATACATTATTCTGTCATTTGCCAATTGTGTACAACAAAATTAATATTATTGCTATTCGTCAGAACCAATGTTCTTACCTGAATTTGCAGTATCGTTTATATTCATATGTTCTAACCATCAGATACTTATACGACCTGAAACGTATAGCAAACACACGAAGTACACGTCTTTGATAAAATGTAATTTGATTTTTTTTCTTCCCCTAAAGGATGAACATTTTTTTTCATGCATATACGTTATACATAGACTTACGTGATATCCAGATATATCACGGTTTGAAAATTATCCAGAGAAAATTCGTTTCTTATATATATGTAAACGTAATCCTATCATATAGTCCATACGATTTCTTTTCTGATACGTGATACTCCCTATAAGAACATTATTTCCCATTCAGATATCTTATACATTATTCCTTATGACAATGGTATTCCCTATCCACTGAAAATTATAATACAAATACATTTATTTCCTCCTGGATCAATATATACCCCACTGAAATTCCAATATATATCTAAAATGTCAGCAGCTTCAATGTATCGCAGAGCACAAGTAAAACAGCTCACGGCAGATATTACCAACAGTTACCAACGTGCCAACGGCACGGCATATACAGAATACATTAAAAGCAACTAGAATCCTGCACCTAATAATTTCCCGCAGGTCGACCCGATATGGTTCACAATTGCACGACATCCAACACCTCCTCCAACTCCTTCTCGGTACAGTGCACGGAGGGTTTTAACGGAGGCTTAACGCAGTCGTTCCTCCTCGAGGTGAGAGAGAGCAACAGCCAGGAACTGCGAGCTAATCTGACGTCACCGGTTCCGCGATTCAGCGTGACTCATCTTGAATCCGGGGCGTTATATCAGGCATGCATATACGCGTACAATGATAAAGGACGCAGCGAAGCAATGGTGGTGCAAGCAGGTACATTGCGTCAGCCAGAGAAACAACTGACATCCGAGTCAGGTAAATGCAATGGATGCAGTTTGTTGCGGGAGCATTAATGCACTGGCATATTCACATATCGGATATATCATTGACAACGTCACGATACACAATTACAGATCGTCCCCGTCAACACATGAAACTAACGCCAATGCTAAGCGTCATGATAGGAGTTTTCGCAGCTCTCGTTATAGTGGCAGTGATAGTAATGATAGTGCTGCGCATTCAACACTCTCACGTCGATGACCAAGGCAAGTCCCACGTGGAGGATCTCGGGAAGCCGACGAAAGCAATTCCCATTCAGAGGGAATTGAGATTCCGTGAGAGCAGCAGCTTATTGGCAGAGGAGAAGCTACCCGGCAGTCCGTTTAGGAAGCTGGACACGAGCGGAGATGCGAATGAGAGCGATGAGAAGAATCCGGACATCATACCGCAGCAAATCAGTGCTGGTGCCTATAAACAGAATTCACATAGCTTTAATCCATTCCGATTATTACGATCGAATAGCCTTCTCTCTCGTGTACAGATAATTACCGTAGCCTTTTGATATACGAACCTACTTCTGTACCTCGGGCATTTTTATTTGACAGGTGACGAGCCGTCCGAGTATCTTCGAAAAAGACGACTTGTCTCGACAATAGAGACATCGCCCTCGAGAAATCTTTTAAAGCATCCGACTGTTACTGCCGTCGGCGGACATGGCAATTACGTCGGCTATTGCACCATTCGCAACGGGATGCCACTGCACGAGCTATCGAACTTAACGTCCAAGCATAAAAGCGTAAGTATCGCAATGCCATAGCGCCACTAGACTACTTCCTCGTTAATAGCCAGACATCTGATACATAACACTCTATATCTGAAAAGTATATAAAAAGTCATTCTTAAGGTTACATATAGATATATAGTATACGTATGCGCGCTATATACCTGACGTATCGTGATGTTTACATATATAGTGCATACCCGTGAACGCCATGAGCTCTCAGTTTCAACCGATGGTCAGTGAAGTGTACGATGGCGGAATTTGCACTTTACCCAGGCAACACTGGCCGAATCAAAGTGTTCAGTCAATGACAATGACCCCGCCGATTTTGTACGCTGGATTGGGTGTGGTGAACAGGACTTGCCCTGGTGGTACGGTCCTGCCAAAGGAAGTCGAGGCCAGACTGGCTGGTCAATGTTGCATTCAGTCGCATAAAGACACGACGATAGGTACGCCGCTTGTGACGGCCAAGAGGGAGAGTTCTGTGTGACGCTGTTATCCCAGACAGAACTATATGCTGCGACTACGTCGTCGTTGAGTGTTAAGGATATTGATTTTCATTATTTTTTTTTTTTTTTTTTTTTTTTTTTTTTTTTTTTTTTTTTTTTTTTTTTTTTTTTTTTTTTTTTTTTTTTTTTTTTTTTTTTTTTTTTTTTTTTTTTTTTTTTTTTTTTTTTTTTTTTTTTTTTTTTTTTTTTTTTTTTTTTTTTTTTTTTTTTTTTTTTTTTTTTTTTTTTTTTTTTTTTTTTTTTTTTTTTTTTTTTTTTTTTTTTTTTTTTTTTTTTTTTTTTTTTTTTTTTTTTTTTTTTTTTTTTTTTTTTTTTTTTTTTTTTTTTTTTTTTTTTTTTTTTTTTTTTTTTTTTTTTTTTTTTTTTTTTTTTTTTTTTTTTTTTTTTTTTTTTTTTTTTTTTTTTTTTTTTTTTTTTTTTTAATATCGTTCGGTTACGGGTGTATTACGGGGAGTCTCTGTCTCCTTTAGTTCTTTTTTCACCCGATAATATATATATATATATATATATATATATATATGCCACAACAAGTTTAGTATATGTATATATTACTTCTCTATGTTCAATCAAGTGCCCTTTTATATTGAAGGAAACTTAAAAGCTACATTTAATATAAATGTGACGAGCTGTGCGTTAAACTGTGTGTACGAATGAGTTACGTGCATAATCGATGTAATTGTAAATACCTTAAATATCGAGATATTTTATACAGATTGATAGTATAATAATAATAACAATTATCTGACTTTTACGGACATTGTCATATTTATAGGTGTACATGGGGATACCATATGTGAGCGTGTGTTTGTATATAAGGGAAAAATATATTTCCATTGTATGGATATGTATACAGGATTGTGTATATATATACGTACGAGCGTATATGACGACCAGAATAAAGTACACTGAAGAAACGGCATTGTACCTGAATGGTATCATTGCAAATAAATGGGAACAAGAACAAAACTAGCGGTGACGAGATAATTGGAAGTGCAAAATAAAGAGAGACATATCGTTCAGTTTTCCATCCTGGAAACCGAGTTCAACGACGAATGTTCAAAATCCCCATTACTTTTCAGTCTGCGATATTCTGGATTTTATTGTGAACGTTAAGTATATCTGTATAATGTATAAAGTAAATCTTTCTTCGAGTAATCGTACCGAATATTAACGTTGTTTTAAAAAAGAAATCTTTATCTTAACTCTTAAACACGCCGATTACAGTCTCTAACTTGTGGTAAACATTATTGCGATAGTCCTTCTATTATTGCCTGTTTAACGCTTAAGAATCTCGTTGGAATTTCATCTAATGATCGTATAGATTTATTGACTCTTGTATAGCTTACGAGTTGACATAAGGAGAGAAAAAAAAATACACCGTCATATCCACTCTGTGGGGAAAAAGTGCCATGGGAATAAAAAAAGGCTCCTTTCCGTAAGGGCGAATTGCGCAAAAATTAAAAAAAAAAAAAAAAAACTAGCGACAACTTTAGTGCGTAACTTTTCGTAATATCGATCCGAACCTCCTGGAATCGCACGTAAATCCGAGCGATGAATTTAATTCTTTTTTGAGAAAAAAAAATCATGGCCTGACGTACGCGAAGAGACGGCAGGAGGAGGAAAAAAAAGTACGTGTTCACTTGGAACAAATGCGTGAGGTTTGCATAATTCTTTTTCCTGCACAAGTCGAGCAACTACTTCTCGATCTTTGAGAAGGTGAGATATGCTTATGAATTTTTAGGGAATTTCGAAATAAATGCACGGGTCTCCCACGTGAGCAATCTCTGCTTTTATGAGCCACTCGTGTAGGCATAGAAGTATTAACATTTTTTTTCTACTTTCACGTATTTGGTGTGTTTCCTGGTTTAACTATAGGGCTAAGGTTTACATTCGAATGATCCGAATATAATCTTTAACAAATAAATTGTTATTCATTGCCATTGATGGAATTGATGTGAGCACACGATATACCATTAACAAAATTAATGAGGGCTATACTATTGTTACGATGATTTGTGAAGTATAGCGATGCGAATTTAAGGTGTGTTAAAAGATTATCTGCGATTGGACTAAATTATATGTGAAATGACAAGGAAACGATGCTTATGATGATTAATTGCAGAAAACAAAATCGGACTACCATAAACTGCCAGAAATTTTTATCAATAGTTTCGAATTACAATGAGAGTCTGTGTAATTGACGTTATGAGTTGTGCGAAACTGCGATTACATAACATTCGCTGTATTTATTCCTGCCGATCAGCGTCCTGATATATGTTATATTCATGTCTAGTCCATACGACACGATTATCTATTTTCAAAGACGTATTTAGTTACATTCGAGCATTGAAGTCAATTTCAATCTTATGCGACTATAGAGGTACTCTGCCATCATATGCATATGTTTTATAATAATTAAACTTACTAAAGATAGATTGCTATTTTCATGGGAAATTATATTCTCTAAAATAAGTGTTGTCAAATTGAATATAGTTGGGTGACTTTTACCACCCATTAACGCATGTCTTCAGAATACTTATGTTCAATATTTGGTAAACGTATAAATGATATATACTTGTTTTGCAGCACATGCCAAACAAAAACAGTCACTAATGGTGTCGTTGTTGCTGTTGACTTTGTTGATTCAGCATTATTACATCTCTCCTTGGGACATTGCCGTCGAGTATGTCGTAAGGCACAAAGTCGCACGTGGGTGGCCAAATTTTATCTGAAAAAATAATTTGAAAAATTTGGTAAAGTTTCTCGACACATCTATGACAGATAAATTTCATGTCACGATGATTTGATCCTCTCAACCGTATCACTATCAATTATAATGTTTCTATGGTGTGTAAGCATATTGTATATTATAAAAGAAAAACACTCTGTCGTAATTGAAACTGCTACACTTTGCGGTCTGTTATGTGCAGTACTGTTCTTCTCCCATCCTCCATATACAAAAGTAATACCAGTAATTATGTAATAACGAAATAATGATGCAGACAAGGATGAGATAATTTAATTGAAAATGGATATCAAATTATTAATTTGGAGTTTCATTAAATTCACATAAACAACGATTTTTTATTGATTGTTTTATACTCATTATGTTTCCATTGTCACAATGCTGATAAACAAAATTGTCCAAACAGTGTTGCATGTTTCTATCAGGAATGAATGCGCATTCGTGTAACTTTATATATTTCATGCGTCCATAATAACTTTAATGAGACATAATTAAAATCTTTAAATCAAACATGAACAATTATTCGCAGTGTATTGAAACTGGTATATCTTTCATAGACATTATAACTGTGAAGACCTCTCATAAAAGTGAATCTAACAATTGAATGAGTCGATCCTGTCATTGTTAAAATACATTTCTCAAATGTAACAGTAGTTTGAAATTTCTATTGTGAAATATAGTGATCGCTAAACTTAATGTACTGAATGGCAGTAGATACATCATCTCCCTTAGATTTCATGCAAACGGGCCTCAATGAAAGAAGAACAACGTAACTTAAGGATAATGGAAACTTTTAAACTAATGATCCTTTAAGAACATCATTGTATCTATAATAGTGCCCATACCTGGAGCATAAAGATCGTGTCTGAGGGGTTACTTTTTCTAGGAACATTGAAATTTGCGTACCTAGTCTAGTACAATTTAACTTAACTGTATGTAACCCAACAATACGAAAATGTTTTTTTGATATTGTAAATATTCTGAAATAAATAATCGTTTTTATTCATCCACGCTCTCACGCGTTTATCATGCACCGTGACCATTTTATAATTTACGTGATATCATTAATTCATTTATTATCACGTATAATTGTATATTTATAGTTTTCAAATTACCATTGTAAAAGTCAATCTGCGGTACTTTCATATATAGCTCAAGATATTCTTCGACGTCCTTCAATACCGGGGTATCGACTTTTAGTAAGAATTCCAATACTGCACTTTCTGGCAGACATTGTGGCACTTTTTCACCTAGGTGCGATAAAACTTCCTCCATTGATACAGACTATTGGGGCAAAATAAAAATAATGGTTTAGTATTTCATACGTATAAATATTTCATGACGCGTATGGCGGTAAGGATGATAATGAATTAAATTGAATTTACAGTGATACCGTAGGTATCCAATATATACTCGCACAGCGTATATAACTTGAATAGACAATTTGTGATTTGCTTTTCAATTTCACTCAATCCAGTTGTTTCCAACTTCTCCAGTAAAATTGGTGGTTTTGCAAATACCGCAAACCAACGGCGGAAAAATTTCTACAGCAGAAAATGTATAAATTGCAATAGATGCTAATGTGTACGGTTTTTTTGTTAACCCTCTACAGCCAGGTGTGCCTTTGAAATCATATGTATATTGATAAATCCATATCTTATTGATTTATTTAACTTTTTACTGCAAGGTAATGTATATGAGGTTACAAAGCACATTCGTTATTAAAAAATCGTTAAAACTACTGAATTCACTGTTAATTTCTATTTAGAGGTTGATATCTGTTGATTTCACGTTACATAAATTTGTTTACGACCATGATAAAAATTCATGAGGTTACAAAGCACATTCGTTAATAAAAAATCATTAAAACTACTGATTTCACTGTTAATTTCTATTTAGAGGTTGATATCTGTTGATTTCACGTTACATAAATTTGTTTACGACCATGATAAAAATTCATGAGGTTACAAAGCACATTCGTTAATAAAAAATCATTAAAACTACTGATTTCACTGTTAATTTCTATTTAGAGGTTGATATCTGTTGATTTCACGTTACATAAATTTGTTTACGACCATGATAAAAATTCATGAGGTTACAAAGCACATTCGTTAATAAAAAATCATTAAAACTACTGATTTCACTGTTAATTTCTATTTAGAGGTTGATATCTGTTGATTTCACGTTACATAAATTTGTTTACGACCATGATAAAAATTCATGAGGTTACAAAGCACATTCGTTAATAAAAAATCATTAAAACTACTGATTTCACTGTTAATTTCTATTTAGAGGTTGATATCTGTTGATTTCACGTTACATAAATTTGTTTACGACCATGATAAAAATTCATGAGGTTACAAAGCACATTCGTTAATAAAAAATCATTAAAACTACTGATTTCACTGTTAATTTCTATTTAGAGGTTGATATCTGTTGATTTCACGTTACATAAATTTGTTTACGGCCATGATAAAAATTCGGGCTATACAGGGCTAAATATTCTTGTACAGTATACTAGATATATTTTTTACTTGATATACATGATGATATGGGGGCAAGCAAATTACTCTTCCAAGATCAATTTGCATAGCTCCATCAGCATAGATAAGTCGAAAATGGCGAAAAATTATTTCCTCCGTTGCCTGCGGAAGTAAAGCAGAATAACGTTGCTTTGTATACGGAACTATTACAGACTATAAGAATAATTAAGGTTTCCACGAAAGATACTTAAGGTACATAAAATTTTTAATAAACGAACTTATAAATATGAGCCGAATACTTAACTCCAGTATATGAATGAAATATTGCTGATAAACAAGTAATAATCCCGTTGCAGGAGAGTCACTATGATCATTTGCTAAATGATCCATAACATTTTTCATCTTCTACACGGTTAATTATCAAATTAGAAATATTGCATAAAGATTAATCAAAGAAATATACTTGACGTAATTCTTCCGAAGTGCAACGATATTCGCCGATATATATTATTCTCGTAAGGAACATGACCTGCAAAAAAGCAGAAAGGCAAAGGCAATTCTGTTGTTCTTTTTCAGTGAACGGAACTCGGTTTATATATATTTTGATAAAGTTATGAAAAGTAACGGATCGCGAGCGTTCATACAATACACATTTTTATAAGGTTAATAATCAGTCCATTAATTTTGTTGACTTACCTGATCCATTGCTTGGAGATTCCTCTTGACTAAATCTAAATAACTTTGTCTAATAGGCACGTTCATTATCACGTCTAAACGCAATGCATTACATTTATTTCTCAATTTACTTTAAAACTGTTGACTGCAGAAAACATCAGATAACGAATATCACTATTTGACACTTGAGGAACGATACAAAAATTCGTGATTCACTTGTCTTTGCTTAGATTTGTGTATAAACTGTTATTTTGCTGACTAAACATACACTGACTTGTATGTTTTTAAGTTGTTCATAATCCAGTGGCGCGAAACACTTTCGCACAGTTTGGGAAACGTAAAAACTTTAACCGGAAACATTGTTCACGCCATTACTTGCAAAGTATTACTTCCTCCCATACACTGTATAACAGTTAACAACTCCCGCAGAATTTCTACTGAAAGTTATTGCCATTTTGGCTATAAGAAAACTATTTATATGATTTTTATACCAAAGTCTATGGCCTTTGCTTTCTATTTCTCGTATTTCAATATTACAGTTGTATCTTGTATCACGTATTCCAGGCGATTAAATTTTCAAATCTTTCTCGTTTACAACACGTTATACTAATAGTCGGATCTAATTTGAATTAAAGAGAATAAGGTACAAATTTAAAAATACATAAAGATGGATCTTGAAAACTGTACAAAGAATTTAGAAAATTCCTTAGAAGTGAAACCAACAAGTAAAGATGCTTCTAATTGTAACTTTCATGTCGGCGAATTTCAAACATTATTAACTAATGAACTAAACGATATGGAACCCACCATGAATCGCCTAATTGACAAGCATAACTGCTCATCGGAAATAGACATGAAAGGAAATGGAACGCTAAATATTAATGACGGCAAACTAGACCAAAACATGAACGTGAATGGACCCTTAATTGGGGTAACTGCGCCTGACGTATTACACCCATACTTTGTTACTGTAAAGCACAATACGACGAAACTCCCAGTGGAACTCGATGCTCCCAACGAATTCACAATTTCACGAAAACGATCAATTCAAGCATTATGCCTTGAAATTATACCTCTTAAACGTAAACGCTATATTCGTGATACGAATAGTTTAAGCAATAATTGCGAGAGGCTGTCAAAGGGAGACGCAGTCCTCAATTTAGAAAAAAATTTGAATCAATTTAATATAAATGACGATGAAGTAACAATGACGAACAATGAAATGGAGAATTTGGAAAATCGACAATTGAATACAGCATCGGTAGGAAAAAATTTATACATGTATAAACGCAAAAAAAATGCTATAGAAAATGGTTTGTAATTAATTCGTTGACAAGGTAATATTTATAATACTAGATATTGTTTCATCATTTTTTTTCTAGAAAGCTTAGAGAAGACATCGGATACAACTCAGCAGAATAAAACGGAATTATCAAAAAGGACATCTAGAGTTTTAAGATTTGGCTTATCCAAGAAAATAAAAGTCAAACCGTTACACCCACAATTGCATAATATAATATAGTACTTTATAAGGAAAGTGCATTGAAAATTATAATTTCGTTCTTATTAAATCAATTTCCTTTTTATAATATTATAGAATATTTAACATTGTATTGCTCGAAATAAATTACGCAATTTTGAGCCTAACTTAAAAAAAAGAATCATTCTTATCATATAGTCAAACTTATTACTAACAGCCAAACTTATTGGACTGTGATAATACAAATAATCTTAATAACAACTTATAATAATATTAGCAGGTTCAAACTTCTTATGAACTATAACAAAATTATCAATTCTTATATAATACTGCGTTTATATCACCAAAAGAGAAATCAGTGCATTCTTAAAAGTATTTCAAGTCAAATTTGTCCTCGTTTCTATTCCTAAGTATTACTTGCCATCAGTAGAGAAATTATTGATAAAGAATATAGAAATTAAAAAAAAAAGAGTAAATACCACATAGTAAATCTTACAAAATTAAAGCTCATATACTGTAATTCTATGCAAGTATTGCATAATATCAAGATAGTCTTTCACTTTACCAAAATCTAGAATACTTTTACAAAGCCAAAGGAATGGCACCATATAAATCATACGTTTTCACATAAATGTCGTTAAAAAGATTCATTAATATTTTAATGAAACTATAGTAATTATTAATTTGACGTAAGCAACGTTCAATGTCTTTCTTACTTCACGATTAAGTACACCCGTATGTAATATACTTTAACATTATTGCTTCATCTTACTTACAACATTTGGCTAAAAAATATTTCGTTATCACCTTCTCGATATATATGAGTAGAAATAAGTTGTAATAAATGTCAGAAAATAGATAAAGGGAAATAATAACGGTAGGAGTTTCATTTGATTCTTATCATGATTTTGTCCATGATCCATTATTCTTTGAAATTATAAATCACGTTTTGTAATAAATGATATTCGGTGCTTAAGCAGCATCACTATTGAACTCTAATCTAATTCAATAAGAATACATCTTTTTACTTTTTTGATTTGGGTCGGTCTAATATTGGCGGCGGCAGTGGTGATGGTTCTGCTGGATTACCCAGCCACACGGATTTACTAAAACGACCTTTTGTAACAGGTGCTTGCCATTTGCTCGTAGACATAATAGGAGCTGTAGGCTTTTCTGCTGTGACAGTTGCTATAGTTACATTCCTGAAATTAAATTAAATAGTCGTAAAATAATCAATTGCATTATATCACTGTATCATAAAAGCTCAACGCGTACTTTTACATTAAAAATAACATAATACAATATTATATTTCAACATGCATTACCTACTACTTCTTGCCGATTAAATCACTTAACGATTAGCACATTTGATATTATATTTTATAAAAGATAAAGAGACATTTACATCAATAATAAATGTTATCCCTCTTACCCTTTTAATATTAAAAAAATTATCATGTGCTGTATCATAAAGGATGCGGGATAAAATAAAAAGGTGTTCGGGTATAGGAATAATATTTATTCATTGTAAAATACATTATACAAATCCGGAAGAAGTTGGTTATACAATCTTCTAATGGTTATATCACTGTTAATTAATCTGTATCTTTTTTTTTCATTTACTCGTTAAAGTATTTTCATTGGAAAAACGTATGAATGTTTGAAGAAGTTTCAATCTCATTGGTATCGAATTACTATTTCATAACAGATTACTTTCAATTATAGTAGTTGATTTTTACATTATTTCGAAATGTCGTTATGTTTGTACAATAATTGGTGTATTGGTACTGAAGTAGATATTGCAAGATGACAAAAGAAACATGATATAGTGTAAGATTAATATATATGAAAAATATAGACCAGAAGAACAAAGCGTATTCTCAGAGAATTTAATGTGCTCCTATAAAATTTTCAGCATGTATTAACTTCGAATTAAATTTAAATTCAATGATTGATGTTATAGAGCTATTGAGGATGGCACAGTTAATTTACACTATTAAAGTCTCATCAAATAATTTCAAGCATTAAATGCTCTGAGACATAGGCTAATAATTATTTTTCCATTAATGCCAAGGTACTTGGTTCGGATGACTGATGGAACCCAATTTATAGTACCTGGTGGTGGAGAGTGGCTGCTGAACTCCAGTAGGATGATTTGGTGGTGTCGTTGTTAAGGGCGTCTCTGTACTCTGAGCTGAAGTACCATCCCCTTTAAGAACGGCCACGCACTTCCAATTATTGATATAATTATCTTTCCACAATCGTACACAACCGTCGTCACCAGAACTGGCTAAGATTGTGCCCATGATGTTCCAACATACACGCCATACTGTGCAGTAATGATCTTCGAATTTTGCGGTTGTTATTTCAAAACGTGACAATCCACTTTGTGCAGAATCCCTAAATAAAGTTATTATTATATCAGAAATAGTTTACATTACAGCTATTAATCTAGCAATATATATTTTATTAGAATTTAATATTTTACTCACTGCACAGGTTTTAAAGTTATGATTCGTACATCCTTCGTAGCAATAGCTAGAGTATGAAAACTTCTCCCCAGGTTGGGAGCAAATGCTATGTCATGTACTGGATCTACCACATTCGATAATGTTTCCGTCTTGGTCCAACGTCTACTATTTTCCGAATATTCATATATAAATACTTTTCCTCCATTCGAAGTATTTGAGTCATCGCTTCCCACTGCTAACATTGGTGGATGTAATCTGAAGTTAACGCCGGATTAAGAATTTGAAAATAAAGTCTTTAGTGATAAGGATGTAAGTAAATACCTGGACAAAGATGGGTTCCATGTAAGACAACTGCAAGGAAGTTTGCAACTGATATCATGTTGCAACGTCCATTGACTTAGATTCATAACATCTGGAGCTTCGTATATTCTAATGACTCCATCTGCACTACATGTAGCTAACAGAAGTCCCAGTGTCTTTGGAGCAAATTTAACATCAGTAACTGATGTACGAGAATCTACTAAATTTGTTCGGCGCACCCAATGTCTCATACCACGTTCACCAGGTCCTGAACCCTCGCCAACTGTACAGATTATTATACACATTAATATAGAAACAACGAAAGCTTAACATTACAACAATCTTTATTTTTAATATTTCATTAATAATTGGTAAGAAAATTCATATACCAATTTCTTCCCAAACTGCAGCAGTTCTGTCAAAGGAACATGTTGCGAGTACTTGTCCAAATTCAGGATGTGCCCATGTGACTTTCCATACAGATCCACTGTGTACTTTCCAGGAGGCTGTTAAATGCCAATTTCCATGTTCATCTTCGTCCCAAACCTGATAACAATTTTTTATAGATTATGTCATGACAATCACACTTTCACGAATTTCTAATTCAAAACTCTCGTTTTTTTTATACACCCAAGGAATTCGTATTCACAATTCACTTATATCGTAAATCTACGATTCCTTCATTAGTTTTGTTATTTTATACACAATTATCTTACCTTAACAAATTGATCACTGGAGCATGTTGCCATACGCTGCCCATAGAAATCATAGGCAATATCATGAATTAAATCTTTATGCTCGGCATTGATACTATGTGCTTCAAACATATTTTTTACAATTATAAATATTGTCCAGAACTTTTATTCACAAACACGAAACAATATTAAATATGAAAAATTCCTTTAAAATTTGTAGGTTATGAATGCCCAAATACATCTGTTATTTATAAAGAGGCGCCGTATACTTTTCGCGCCGCCACCAGACGTCACCATACTCACAGGACAGATTTAACTTCCATGATTGTATATTCAAGGTTCTATGCAAAAAGAAACAATATTATTGTCTTACTTTTAAAACCTAAACGACGCTAACCCGAATTGCTTGATAAATAGATAATTTGGATTAATCTAAACATGAACCATTTTATTGAAGATAAAGAAAACTAATGTTCGCAAAGCTTTCTCCATCAAGAAGTCTTAAGCGTACAGCGTTACTGAAAATTAATGTAAATTAAAAATAGGTTACTTTCATAGTTAAAATGAATTTTTGGTATACACTGAAAAACTGAAAAGCTTGGATTATGATAAAAATGAGAAATTAAGAATTATCGATAATGTATGGCTTTTGGAATTAGGAAATGATTGGCACAACACACCTGATAGAATAATAGAGAAAGGATATTAAAAGATTGATATAACGGAGCATATTTTAGGGGTTTGTAATTAAAAATATGAACGTAGTATGTCTAGGAGTAGCGGGATTTTTATGGAGGGGTATAAGGATTATAACGGTTCAGTAATAATTTCTGAATAGGAGACGAAGCGTGACCGCGCTGACAAGGTCCCGCAGTGTTTGCCAATAATGTCACTCCCGGTGTAGCCAGTTTAAGGAACAGACGTAAAGTTTGAGTTAAAAATTTTCCTAGTCTAATATTTTGCTTTCGATTTTGTGGATGGTGATTTTATAGATACTGTGAATTTTCTACGGCAGGTGGTACAATAATTAACAAGCTTGACAGTAAGTATTTAAAAACTACAATTTGTTAAACAATCCTTTTGAATTGCAACCGGTTTTAATGTGCTGTGTTGCAATTGTAATCCTTACCAATGCATTATCTATTAATATTCCGATTCGTTGACTGAATACCTTGTGATTATGGATTGAATATCATGTTACCAACTTCACCTTCGTCAAAGACCTTCATCTTTTTATTGTTCATGGTCTATTAAAAGAAAACGAACTAAATCGTTTTTGTAAGTTTAAAATCTTTAAGCTTATCTGTACACTGTAATTTCACAATAGGAAAAGTTTAGGCAATATTTGAATTTTGAATCAACCACGTCTGAGTCATATTGTCAACCCCAATGGGATTCACTTGTTATTTTAAAATGTCAGATAACAGTTCTGCAGCATGTTGGACTCCAGTCATTGTTCATCCATCATCGTGAAACGTCTGGAATATTGTGATTGTTTAAAATGAATGTTACGGAGAAATAATTTATTAAGGTGGGTGAATGATAAATCATTGATTTGATTTATCCATGCACCATTGCACTCGGTGTACATCATTATGTTCCCCATATCAAAGTCACGTGTTGCTTCGGTTATAAGCTGTCACTGACGTATCGTAACAACAAGTTCAAAACAAAAAAATATTTATTTGACAGTGTAAACTGGGCCGAGCCAGTGCAAAAAATGAACGACGTCATAGTGGAAATATGACTGAAGGAACTAATGCATGTAGCCCAACGAGTATTTTACAAACCATCAACGACGAACCACAGAGTCACGGACGATTGTATGCTGGTAAAGATTTGAAAATAATTTTATAAAATGCGAACTTCCTCGTTCCATGTGAATATTATAGAAAATTCGATTTTCGGCTATTGTAGAAATTTCTAGTAATGTTTACTGTTCCATAGTTCACTTTTGTCTCATGAGTTAAACACCCTATAAACCTATTATTATTATGATTATTTGCAGATGCTCAAACTGACATTCATTATGTACAATATGAGATCAGACAGCAGCATGAATGAAGTACATAATTAGGAATCAGTTTACAAACAGCGATACACAAATTATCGCGGGGAAGCATTTCTTGAATCGTCATGTAATAAGGCAATTCAATACATCATTCCTCGATACGCCGCAATCGATGATTTGTAAGGATACTGCAGATACTCAACATATGAGAGAAACTGTTATCAACGATGACTCCAACGTTTCGAATTTTTTGCGAATGAGCATGGACTGTTAGCACCAGATTAATCCTTGGAAAAAAAAAGAAACGGAAATCGTATGGGTCGAAGAGAACGGAAGACCCAATTCTTATGAAATATCTTATAGAGCGAATATCTGAAGAATCAAAGACTCCGATCAAAATTCGAACAGTTCATTATGTCGAAAATTGCAAAGTGTCAGCGGAATTCAAACGCTCGGACGTCAAAGAACTCACGCAATCGCCGTTCAAGGAGCGTGACTTCCACAAGAGGTCAACAAGTATGCGACAGTTCTTCATCGAATGACGATGAGAGACCCCCGTATGTCGCCCCATGGAAATTACGCCGTAACAAACAGTCACAGAATTCTCAAACTTCCACAAAAGATCTGCTGTCTTCGCCTACTTACATAAAGGGCTTTGAACTTGGTAATGTAAAGTGGAGAGGACCACTGTGTAATGCCGTTTGCGAGTCATCAAGAAAGGGAAAATTCGAATACGGTTACATTGACAGTCCTACGTGGAAGGACAGCAAAACAAAGCAGGATTCGAAATTGAAATTAATAGCAGAACCAAACTTATTAAGAGTACAACAGAAGGAGATTATTGTACCGCCGAAATTCAGAACGGAATTGAAACCCGTCGAAACAATGACTGAAATAACATCTGGTTACGACAGTGTCACATTGGCTAATGAAAATCAATCTCAAGGCATCGCGGCGCCGATTAAAGAAATGAAAAAGAATTTATCCTTACATATAAATTTGAAAACCCAAGAAAACTATAGAGGTGGAATTGAAACAGGAAAGGAAGAAGTTTCAGGAAAAGTTTCTCAAAGAAATAATTCACCCACGACGCCGTTATCAGCAGCCATTAGGGATCTTAACGAAGAGATTGAACGTTTGAATTTTCGACCGAATTTGATGACTTCAAAGAATACGAAATCTTTTATGACGCCGACTAGAATTTATCCTAATTTAAGTGAAATAAAATTCACTGCCACTGCTGATTCATCAAGAAAATTATATCAGTCTCCTGAGAGTCAATGGAGTAACGATGCTCAATCGCTGTCAAGTAGTAATGTAAACTCATGTGTCAAAGAACGTTTCACAGATTCAAGTCCCAAATCAGATACATTTGTCATTGAAAATATCGATCAGTCCATATCCATGCTGGATGTCTCATCAAAGAGCGAAGAAAGTACATTCCTATGCAACAAGGATGTCACAGAGAACAAAGATCATAATACATGTTCAGAGGTAAATACAACAGGAATTGTCTACAACCATATGCCAAGAAGATCACGCAAAAGTAATTCAGTATTGGTAACAGCTGATATTGTTTCGGAGAGTCCAAAAATGACTCTCAAGTCTTTTACTGAACAAAATCAGAAAACAAGTTTGTTCTGTAAAACATCAGTATCAGAGAATACTAAGTCAAATTTCGACACTTCAAGAAAATCTTCAAATATAAATTTAATGACGATAACTTCGCCATCCAATGCTGAAACTATTGCTTCAAGTATAAGTTTGTCGAACGCTTCTAGTAATCTTTCGGAAAATGGAGATACTTCACAACAATCAAATTCAGGAAATACTACAATTAACTTTGAAGCTCAAAAATTCTTAGAAGAAGCACTTGGCGATGAACTATACAACACCAGTGTCACTTATACACAATTTGATACGCGAGACAGGACAGAATCTCGTATAAATGCAAGCGATTTGATATCCGAGGAGAAAACACCAGTTCCATCACAAAAATTTAGGAACAATTCAAAATCATCAACGACTGAAACATCAGTAAACGAATTATCGGTAACCGAATCATTACCTCAACAAAATACTACCTTAAATAGGACACAAACGATTTATAAGTCGCTCACGCAAAGATTGAAAAAGGTAACCCAACGGCATAACATTTAATTAGAGGGCGTTCTTAATTGATGCCTCTTTTTAATAATATTTGTCTTAATATTACAGAAATTCAGAGCTGGTTTGAAAATTCCACCAACTGCCTTTCCACCTGCACCATCTTTAGCTTCAACCGGTGTTTTACTTGAAGATCAAAGGACACAATGTTTATTACAGGAAGTTATTACGCAACAAACATTAATGTACCAAGCTAGCAAAGCTTTGACTCTATGTAGATCCATGAAAGAATTCATGGAAAGTCCTGAACAGGTGGAATCTGAACGTGTCCTCCTGGTAGCAAGTCTCAGGAAGAAGGCGGCTACTGATGAGATGAGAAAGATGAGTTTTGAACAGAACAACAATGAGCTATCTTGTGAGCGAGGTGAAGTCACTGTGAAAGATATAAGTTTACCATTGCAAGAAAATAATCTTAAACTGGAAAAAGATTCTGCGGAATTTGTACAGTGGTTTGTAATAGTCATTTCTCACGGGCTTACCGTGTGGGCAACAAATGCTATTACCTGCCCGATAAATACTCCAGTAATTCATTTCCCAGGATATCTTACAATACCAAATCTCTGTCCAGATTTTAAGCTGAACATACAGATTTATACATTAAAATTGAGAAGAGTTACTTACAATCATGAACAAAAGTATCATTTAAATAAAGACCATAAGCATACAACATGTCCATCGCCTAAGAATTTGTTCAAAAAGACTGAGAGATCACCAATTTCTCCAAAAGAAAAGCATAGCAAGTTTTCGGCAATGAGAGAAACCTCGTTTATTCTATGCGGATCTCTTACGTTGAATCTGCACGATTTGACGTTACATTCGCCATGGCCTTTAGCAGATGTAAGTAAACTAAATTATGATATACATTCATGACCGGTTTATCACTGGCTTTTGCTATTTGAATAATAATATTTTGTTCACAGGTATCCATTGATTCGGCTTTACGAGGTACAATTAACTTAAATCTCAGCTGCAAATTACATTTATCTGTTTCCCATGCGGGTTTCTTAACGCGCGGTGATGAAGTTGGAGGACTTGGAGTATGGAATCGGCAATGGTGTATACTGGAAGGACATAGCTTGATGTTTTGGAATTACCCACGTGATCAAGAGACAAAAAATCCTTTATTGACCATTGACTTAACGCAATGCATTTCTAATATGGTGACTACTGTGGATAGAACGCTTTGTGCGAGACCCAGGACGTTGTTGATTGAAACTGCTAGACCTAGAAGCACTACAGACAGAGACAATATGCTAGTAGAATGTAGACAATCATGTACAATTGTTAGGTAACTATTTCACATGATTTACTTGGTAACCGTAAAACATGTAGATATATGCTTATTTAAACATATTATTTATATTACAGAAATATATTATCCTGTGACACCGCCGAAGATCTAGCAGAATGGTCATCAAAATTAAATCATGTAATTTCTGCACTAAGGGAGTGGAATGTTATAGCTGTAAGGCCGCAACCGCAAGTGTCTGATTTATGAAATAGAATGAATATTATGTTGTGTCCAAGTCATTTGTATTTAAATATTATGATTATTAACATTGGACTGATGAATGTCATCAATAACTATACACCGATAAGGATATATTATAAATATAAGATATTTTACTACATGAATTCCTTCTACTAAATGTAAATAAAAAGTTCCTCTATAGTTCAATATTTTCTTTCTTTTATTAATGATAATGCTATAAATCAGCACTTGGAAAAGCATTGAAAGACCATTGTGTATAATTCAGAATTTTTTAGCATATTAAAAATCCTACAACATTCCTATTTAAAAACTAACAAAATATTTGATGTAAACCTTTAACGTTCTTAATAAAAAAAAAATCAGAACTACAGTTGTTTTATGGGGGAAAGCCCTTGTCTAGCGGCGTGTTCCGATATAAGCTTTCAGTACTGGCAGCACCGTGTCTTCGTCCCGTTATAGGCATGCAGAGCACTGTAGCAGTGCCTAGTACCTTTGATGACGTCATAGATTTGCTACATTTTTGTACTACGAGCGTCTGACCACACGAGGGTAGACGCTCACACTAATACGGGAATTACCTACGCTTCCGGTGAAATTAGTGGGAAAGAGTGGGAAAACGGACTGAGAAATAATTTAGAAAACGGATACTGAAATCGTTTTAATTGATGCTGACACAAATGTGTCTTACATTACAAATAAATATTAAATCTTATGGAGCTTACACTGTGCACTCGAATTTAAGATTACAAAAAAAAATATTTTGGCAATATCTGTTGAGCGGCCTCGTTCTAAGGGTTGTTCTGGGAACCAGCGATAAGTTGGGGGAAACCTCTGCCGGCCAGGCTGCACGTTCGTGATAACTTTCAGCTCGGCTACGACGGGATATGCTTTGTCGACGGAGGCGATGATCACAAAATCCTACTTCCAGACTCGCCACTTCGATTTAGCGCCATGATTTTGGTATCACCTGAAACCATAGCATTGTGCATTTCCCTTAATTTCCCTACTCATCTCTGGTATTGCCTAAAACCGTAGCGTTGTGCATCTCCATACTCACCTCTGGAGTACGTATGTTAGTTTATTATCTACAGTGCCTAATACCTCAATGACTAATCTCTTTTTGTAGGCTTACGACATAAATATGGTGAAATTAGGGATGGTGGTCTGGGGGTTTTCTTCGAATTTTGCTTCGAACCGATATTTCTCGCGTCTTTTAACGTGAGTAAAAAACGCAAAGATTGCATTGTTAGTATGTATGAGTGCCTAGCAATTCCCATATTAGTTCACGGGAGTTGACAATATGCAATCTGATGTTTTGTCAAATGGACGACAATCTACGCACCCTTGATTGTAAAGAGGCACAACATTAACAAGCTCAAAATAATCCGTAGTTAGTTGCTTATTTTTTAAATAATAATATGCTTTGTAGCAAACTAAGGAATGATCATAACCCAGTTGGTTTATTTAAAACCGGTATATACCTTGGTCACATTGCTAATATTAGAATGTAGGAAAACAATTTCATGATCATCTTCCAAATTTTTAGGTCACCTTGGTATGTAGGAGTCAAAGCGTCTGCATCAACAAACTCTAGTCAGGATGCTGCTGAAGATGACCTAATCATTAGTGACAGCTGTGCTAAACGGTTGAAGGAGATAGCCAGCAACGGAGCATGTTTAAGAGTTACCGTTGAAGGTGGTGGTTGTTCTGGGTTTCAATATAAATTCGACTTGGATTCAAAGATTAATGAGGATGACAAGTAAGACGACACATTAGTATATGATATTTAAATTCTTATTTGAGAGAATACGTATTAATGAAAAAGTATTACACAATGTATATTTATTGTTGCAGGGTATTTCAGAAAGATGGAGCAAAAGTAGTCATTGATTCGACATCTTTAGAATATGTAAAGGGTTCAACGATAGATTACCATAAGGAACTCATACGTTCTGCTTTTAGAATAACAAATAATCCACTAGCTGAACAAGGGTGTAGTTGTGGAGCTAGTTTTGCAATTAAGGTAGATTGAGGGAGATATAAAGCAACAATTGAGCTTTTAGCCAAATATTCGTAGCGCGTTTGCGCTTGTAAATTTAAATTCCACATATTTTAAGACCTAGATGAAGATCACTTGAATTCTCAACACTGTTATGGACCAAAAATTAAATTTATGTTGTACTTGCATAATCAAGATGTATCTTTTTGCAATCCGTATTTAATTTTATATCCATAAGCAGCGGCTGTGGTACTGTTACATGTACATATTTTGTTATAGTGAATGAATACAGTATCGTTCAGATGGCTTTACTGTTACATAATGTGTATATTCAATTTATGATCCTTAATTGTATGACAATCCGTTATCCAAAAACAAATTTTCCTTATTTGTTCAAGTTGATTTGTAGAAACTGATTTTACTATATCGGAATGTTTCATTGAGGCAGATCATTTGAGATCAAGGGTTCATTTCTGTTTACCTTTTTTGGCATTCTATAAAAAAAAAACACTTGTAAATATTAGCGTTCCTGATAATTATGGTATCAATTATATCTTACTTTGTTTGCCAATTCAAATTTTAATTGTTGTATTTCTTCAGTTTGTTGAATAAGCTTATCGTTCATGTTGGCAAGATGCTCGCTCATGGTACTTAGCTGAGCTTTGTAATTTCCTTCTTGTTCTTCCTTATCCTCTTGTAAGTTTCTCCATTTTGAAAGTGTTTCTAAAAGGAAAGCTTCGCACTTTTCTCGCTTTGCCTCACTCGTATCCAAGTGAACATTCATTACTTCAGTCTAGGAAGATAATAGACGATGAGCAATGTAATTTACTTATTATTATGAAAAATGAAGTATAAGAATCTCAGTATATATTAATCACTTACATTAGCAGCTATAGACAGATTTTTCACATGGCACAGATGTTTCTCATTTACTAAATTGTCAATTTCTCGAATGAAATAATCCTTGATTTTGGCTTCACGAGCTTCGATTTCCTCAGGAATAGGAAAAGGTGTGTTTAATCTTCCAATCTATATAAATTAATACCAATTGATTAATGAATAATATACATGTGTTGGCAATATTTTAAAAATAAAGGTTCATACCATATTCGTAATCTCTTTGGGTGCCAGTGAATCTGTGTCTAGTTGATTGTGAGCATTTTGTTCATTATTCATAGCTTCAAGTTCATCATATTTGATTTTAAGGATATTGTATTGAGCCTTCCAGCGACTCAGTTCCTTCTCTAGGTCAAATAATTTTGCAATTTTGAGTTCATCATTCTTTTCCTCCAAGGGAGTTACCTCCACTGTAGGCTTACGCTCATTTCGTGAATTTTGTGTTGGCAATGGAGAAGACAGTACTAATACACTTGACTTAGAAACATAGTCACCACTTTGAGATGATTTAATTTCACTATTAGAACATAATTCAGGATTTTCGACATTCTGCTTACTATTTAATTTCCTCTCTAATTCAGCTTTTTCCTTTTCCAATTTTTTAATTATGTCTACACTCTTACATTCCATTTCTGACTTAAGTTTTTCATAAGACTCTATTTTATATTCAAGCTGCTGTACTCTTTCATGCAGATATTCAATTTCATTGTCTTTGTCAATAATCTGTGAAAGTAGCTGAGCATTTTCCACAATTTTCTTCTGAAACTCTTCATCAAGAATTCGATTTGCTGCGATGGGTGACTGAGCTGCTTTACTCTCAGAGGATTTGCTTCTTCCCTTTCTTCCTTTATTCTGCACAGAATCTAATTCCTCTTGTAGTACCGTCACACGTTTAGTAAGCTGCTGATTACGAAAGGTCAAGCTATCAAGCTCCTGTTCAGCTCTGCGCAGTTTAACTTCCTTCTCCTTGAATTGCTCTCGCAATTCTCCATTTTTAGATTGTTCTTCGATTACAGCCTTTTTTAGCACATTAGCCTGTGCACGAATCTACAGACATACAATTTAATACCAGTTTATAAGCTTATTTAATAAATGACAAATATAAGATAAGATATAAATAACAATCATATTCAGCTCCATGCTTACTTTAGAGTACTCAGTGGCAATCTTCTGATATTTAGTCTGCAGTTGTCCATTAACATCTTCCATAATTAAATTTGCACTTTAAATCTCTCAGGAACGTAAATCGGCGAATTATCGTGTATAAGTTAATAATATCTAGACATTGCCGACAGTACGGTGCAGTTTATCGAAGAGCTCTTCTGCCATCTCTGACACCGTCTCCACAAATTGTCATTCTGCCAATTAACATCAACATGAACGTCAACATCAACGCGTTGCCTCGTCACTTGACAGTTGATATAAATTACATGACGCTCCCTCCTGCTCGGCACCTGATCTGATAATTAATTTTCACCGTCTCACTACTCTGCACTAGTTTCGGAATTCACTGGACTCAACTGCCTAACAATTCGCGTGGTCATATGCCGAACGTGCCTAGATATACCCAGATGTTCCTAAACATTCCTGGAAGAACGCCCCCAGCGATACTGATCTGCTGTAGGTATACCTAAGTTTTAAACGTTGACTGAATACACATAAAAAAAAATTAGATGTGCCAGTGTATTCTTCTGTGCCGCTGGATTTTGATTTTATTATTAACATTAATATTTATTCAATATTAAACTCCATTTTTAGGTAATCCCGACACTTGCATCACACCCCATAAGATGACAAGTTTATTTACCTTTTTAATCAATATTTCTTGGTATTTATTTACATAAATCTTATTATTAGATTTGAATGATATCATCACATATCATATCATCACCTCTTTGTTGGAGGACTTCAGTTTTAATGTCAGTAATGCCTGATACTTAGTCCCACGAATATATTCTATATTGTTAGTTATACATATATAAACTTTTTTGGTTCTTTAAAGTACTCTTTAAGCACTGACAACTAAATTATATCTTTGTTCATTATAATATGCATATGACAAAGAAAGACCGTCGGGAAGTTAGCGCGGGAAAATCAAAATTTGTATGTTTATAATGCGTAAAAATTTCCCCTTGAATGCTCCATATGTTTCCGTAATTGCTCCACTGCTACTATGCAGTGATTAATAAATATTCATTAAAACAGAAAATTTTTATTTTTATTGAAATTCCAATTAACAAAGCAGATTTTCATATGAGTTTCTTGATGAATTAATTGCTCCCGATTTGCTCCCAATTGCTCCACAATTAGTTTTTTATTTAATTAAAGCATCTTTAAATAATAAGTAAAATTTGATTTTCACTTAGCTCGATTGCAAACGTGAACATTATGATTGGTTTGCGAACACACCTATGACAGCTGCGTTCTAAGATCAGCCGAGAGTGCGCGAATATCGTTGCCTCGGTTCATTTTCGAACACACTTGGTGAATTCAGGATTGATCGATTCCTTTAGTTCAGTATTAACTAAACCGGTTCAAGACCGCCGTGTAAACGTAGTTTAAGGCCTTTAAGGAGCAATTTTTTAAGCATTATAAACATACAAATTTTGATTTTGCCGCGCTAACTTCCCGACGGTCAAAGAAAGGTTTAACAAGAAACTTTAAATGTACCATCCGATGGTATCAAATTGACAGATGGTAACTTATCAGCCAATGCATTAGTTAGTTTAAATCCAGTTGATATTTCAGTTATCTGAACATGGAGCAGCTAGTATCGTCAACGATTTGCACAGGCTCACTTTTGTGCGCGAGAGAGGGTAGCTGCTCTGCAGTACTCATATTTGCATACAGTAATTCACTTCATTACAGCTCTTCGTGATACCCTTCAGATCCTGTCCTTGGGTATTGCCCTGCAATTATAACCTCTACGGCAAATTTGTCTATTTTGACTACTTTTACTACTTCTGTTCCTTACCGCAGTTCTTAATATCTATTATTTTTCAGATCTCTTCAGGAATGCACTCTTTGGTCTTTGCCAACGCTCTGCACGTAGTTACGTAAGTCAACACATTACTCGCTCCCTCAAATCCGTAAGTGCGAAGAGGGATTTTCTGAAAAGTCAATACAATCGCGTCAAAAATGATCCACCATTGACCTCCCATCAATCATAATCTGTCTTCAACGCCCTTTACTAAAAAAGATTTTGCCTCTCGTATAAACTGACGACAAAAAGAGCCATTTAATATGACATAAAAGTGACAAAAACAATTCGCGATTTTTCGCTAATTCGTGACAGGGACTCTTTAGTAAAATAATTCGTCCCGATGCATGTTCGTGTAATTCCGAGAACGTAATTCTATTAAATTATTCACTGCAGCTCCGCTCGTCGATTGTAGCACATAGTGCGTTAGTGGGAGACTAAATAGATTGTGAATATTGGATTGGACGAAAAGTCATGTCTAAAAATCGTACGAAAGATATAACAATAAATAGAAATGACTTTTCAAGCAACGAGAACAGGATAGAAAAATATAGTTTACCTTCCATTACGACCATTTACGAGCCCATTCACATCGATAACACATACTTTTAAAATCTCATTGAAATAACAAAAAAAAAAAAGACATTTCCAAACACCAGTTTCTCAGTCCCTTACAAATAATCCACATTATTCCAATATACCATTGTCAATTATTTCACGCCTGGTTATTCATACATAACAATACACAGTATTACAATCTAATGGAGAATATCGCACGATCAGTCTCGCAATATTGCAACCATTGTTACCCCCTGCAAATTGCATATTGTGAGGGTATTAACATTCCACACATGTTTACCCATGTTATTCGTCACATACGTACGTGATACTTCCTATCGCATGACAGCTGAAAACAGTCCCTTTGAATATGCCTACCACGAAGTGGCACAGAGTCTACCTAAAGGATAGTCTGTTGAACAGAACCATTTGTCGTTAAATCGCTCACTTCATTCCAGCTCAACCCGAATAGGAAGAGCAACGTGAGTTATTTGTCAGTGGGGTAGAGACGCTCGCCTCTGCCTACTGAATACGTTCTCCAGCTACGAGCAAAGCAGCCGTCGCCGCCGCCACAACGAACAGACAGCATCCGGAGTCAGTGAGCCCAGAACGACAGTGGAGAATCAAAAGCGCCATTAGGAAGCGATGATTCCAGATTCCTTTATTCGGTAACCTAATTGGATTACAGTTAAATTAATTGAGGATCTGGCTACTGCTTGTTATTGATCGTTGCACTGTAATTAATTATCTTCTGTCAGTTCTTGTGGGAAATAGGTTTTAATAAATGTCGAGGATGGGGGGTGGCAAGAGAATGGTTGAAACTAATGGAAAAAAAAGGATACTCATTTAAGATACTCAGTCAGAATGCAAATCAATTACATGGGTAGCTGATTCTCAGCCTTTGTCTAGGATTTTAACAATAAAGACCATTTTATTATTATATTATTGTATTGTTGTTAACGGATTGACCAGCTGGGACAATTGGTTGATGGTTTTGATTTATGTATAGGTAAGGGTGATGCAGCTGGTTACAGAAGCAACTGTCCAAGACGAAGTGGCTGACAGGCCAGGAGATGAGCCACTGGGATGCACACGAGTGCCTTATATGTCTGCAGTGGTTCTACAAGATCTATGGATGAAGTTGTTTGCATCTTGTTAAGCGGCTATTTGTTCTTGATTTGATACCGTCGCTATGGACTAGTAATAATAAGAAAAGGATGAAAAAGTCAAGGAAGTTGGAAGATATGTGAGAAAGAAGTCAGTTCAGTATAGAGTAGGGGGTTCAAAGGACAGTGAAATAAGAGATAAATAGAAACAATTGATAAGGATAAAATAGGGAAAAAGGTATCAGTGAAAAGAGAGAGAAAGAAATCTGAAAAAAGAAGAAACTGATAATATAGTGGAAATACTATATGAATTATTTTAGGTTGTACCATTACTGAACGATTAGGTTATATCAAATACGATAATGGCAGTTTCACAATACGAGATAGATGATGATAGTACAGGGTCGATAGAGAAATTGTTCAACCTACAAATTGTAATACTAAGCGCAATGGCGTTGGTATGAGCAAGGGTCAAATATGAAATGGCGGCTACCAGAGTTAGTTAGATTCTAAGGGTCACGGAACTCTACCTAATTCGCTTTATAAATGATATTATCTTTACATAGTATACCAGGAGCACGACCCTTCTTACGCTTGGGTATTTTCAATTACATAAAATGACTCAGAACATTAATAATCTCATGTGATATTTATATGCGCTAGAACCTTTACTAGTAGACTGTCTGATCGAAAGTCTGTGTGGGACTAGAAATAAAAGTGGAATGCGTGTAACGGAGATATGTGTATGTTACAATCATTCTTTTTAATTTTAAAATTAACAATTTTTATACAGAAGCACTTAGGGTTGGATGATCATTGGATACTAGTAATAGAAGAAGCAGGAGATTGGGACTGTTGTTTAGACTAGGACTTGTCTTAAGACTCGACTATAGTGCCATCTATCAAGTCTTCGTTGAACTCACTTTTCTATCTCCTTTTGCACTGGTGAACAGAGGCAGCAGCTCTTGAAGATGAATGACTCGCAGGCTTTGATCGCTCAGATCTTTCAGGCACCGATCACAGCGAGTATCGAAAAGTTTTCTCGATAAAAAAGCAGCAGAGAGAGAAAGAGGGAGAGAGAGTAGGAATGAAATATCGCTAATGGACTATTAATTTTTATAGGAACCACCCTCTGTTTCCACAAGTCAAGAAGAAACTAACAGAAGTTACTCAAAGCAGAAGCGAGTGAAATGCAGCTATGTGAAAGAAAAGAGCGTTAGACCAAGTCACGGAGTGAACTCTAGTCAGGTATAAAATTTGAACATTCATTTCACCAGCATCTTTCCTCCTCGACTTACAGTACATTATTAATCCATGTTCCAAATTGATCCTGCAGCCAGGTATACAGTAGACCATATTTATATGAACCATTTTCTTTAGCACCTTGCCTTTCATTAATTAATTATTAACATGCACCATCCAAGCCTTTCATTCCCCACAGATTCCAAGCGTATCTCACAATGTGACAACAGATTCTCAAAAGACAGTCTCCTCGTTGTCATCGTCGCCATCATACAGTTTCCAGCCCCCGTCTTCTACGCCACCTCGTTCACCTCGCTCACCTCACTAGGTTACTTCGCTTTGCCGCATCTACCCTGGACCCTCCCCTGATCCCACCTCGTCCTTTACCGACCCTCCACCATTGGCTGTACCCCGCATCTCCCTTGTCACACTTTACCCACAAAGTTTCTTTACTCTCTTTGGCCCATAGCGCTCGATGACAAGGGAACAAGCTCAACCCTTGTCCTCTGGCGACCCCTTTGCACCGGTATAAAAACATTCCTTCGGGAACATAAAGGATTCCTGGTGTCAAATAAAAGGTGCGGATGATCAATTCCTTGAATGGAAACGAGAAGTATACTTGGCTCCTTACGACGTCCCTACTAAGGACCAGGCCGAAGGTTACCAAAGAGATTTTTATTTTTTGAAAATGTAGAACCAATCATTTTGTTATTTGGATCAGAGTATTCCGCAATATACAATGTAGCTGCTATATTTTGTATATATTTCAGACATCCCTGGATATCTCCGTGATACGTCATTCTTAAGGACTGTGAAGTGAACTCCCTTGGATGGGAGTTAGTATAATTCAGATGGCAGGAGGCAGTTCATGGCTTAAGGGAGGAGCAGTCCCGTAGGAGGGTCCAGGGAGAAAAATGATTTCAACCATAACGACCCCTTCTCTTTCTTAGGGAATGAAGAGGTTGAATGCAGAGTGCTCCTCTGGGTCGGACGTGGTCGGACGCCTCCAGGTTCGGTTTGCCAACTAGGTTCGAATGGATTCGAATGGGTTTGGGACTTTAGGAAAGCTATATATATATATATATATATATATATATATATATATATATACACACATTTATTTTCCCCAAGGAATACTCAAGGTAATACGATATCGGAGATATATTAGAATTTTGTTTATTTTTAAAGGCCTTCGCTCCATGATGCAATCCTTAGAACGATTATGTACTGATGGTAATAACTCATGCAAGGCTCTAACGTCCATCTAACGTCCATCTAGGTCCTTAATTGCTGAGACTCCGGGCTGCATTGTTGCATGCAAATTGCAAGCTGTACGAAGCCGTCGACGGGAAAGCGTTTCTACGCCTGAGAGAATCTGGCTGCAGTTGGCCGCTTCCTTTAATCGAGACAAATTACTAGAACCATGGAACGTGAGCCGTGATCGAACGAGTCGGGGTTAACGGGGTCATGGATCACGGATAAGGAAGATGGCAATATAACTCTGAGTTAATCCACGAAGTATGCTGTTATAGACCGGTATATCAGTTATAGTAGTATAAGTCATTTTTGAACCGAAGTTCGATAACGTAGCAGGAACGATAATTATATTGAATCGTCATCAATGAAATATAGATAACACAGGTAACAGGGCAAACGAAAAATTAAATCGTGATTGTTATACTTTCCATGGTCATACTTTTGGCCAATGCATAAATGAGAGTATAAAATTTTAAATGCCTCCCAAGTGAGCTTTACGCCAGGGCAGGATTAATTTGTGCGTACACCATCGATTATAAATTCGCATCGAAACTGTATTCGGCAGTCATTATTGCCTGGCTGTCAAATATATTATAAATGTTTATGCTTCATCAATGGCCGCGACACAGGCTGTTGCTTTGGCTCTGAGTTGATTATTCTAACCTGTATACGTATTGTCATTGGCGCTATTGTTTCTTACGATTAGACGGCAACCACCCTCTCCTGAGGTTCTGTAAAACGGCTTAATGATAATTGGATAAGATTATTTATAAAGGGGCAAAGAGTCATTGCGTAATATCCAGTTGTAGGAAAGATTACGTATCGTTTGACACGAGCTATGGAAGAACAGCAGCAGCGTAGGCCCTAAAGGTTCTCGAGGGTGGGCAAAGGGTGAACGGGAAGGACAGCGAGAGGGTGCGAGGAGCCAGTTAGAAGGGGTAGGGAGCTTGTGGGGAGCAGGGGTGCAACTAGGTAAGAGATAGGTAACGCGCGGCGCTTGTTACACGGTACAACTCACAGCTCGGCCCGGAAACGCGGCTGCACGCTTGAGAAATTATTCGCATGAGAGACGAGAGGGGTGCCGGTGTCAGTTGGGGGGCTGGGGGCTGGGGGCTTGGGACGAGGCACTGGAGGACTGTGTGGGGTCGCAGTTGGAGTCAACGTGGGCTGGGGTCGTTCCAAGAGAGGGTTGAAAAATTACCAACAGAGGCAGCCCATGTTCCCTGGTAGCGTACCTAACCTCCCTTCCCATTCTGAACGAGTAAAAAGGGGGCTGCCTCCAACACCCCCCCTCCCCAACTCCTCACCGTTTTTTTCCGTTTAAAGCAATTTTTCTATCCGTCCCTGGAACGAGGTTTCGCGATAATTGTTTAAGATTTTTTCTTCGACGGAGGGCAGCGGCTATCTCCTTGAACAGTAGATCGATCACTCGAAACTCTATCGTATTATACGTCCCTTTTTAAAAGTTCTTCTCACTGCGCTCGTTAATTATAGATCAGAAGGAAAAAGAAAAATTCATAATGTTTCCATGCGTTCTCGGTAATCCCAATTGTACGGGATAAATAAACACGCGTTTACGTGGGCGTATTAATTGGAAGAGAAGCGTTACAAATGGATTCGTTTTCTGCGTCAAGGGTAGTCAAATGGGAATCGCAATGGTGCAGGAGAGCAAAGAGTGAATCGGTGGAGAATGGAGAGAGACAAAGGGAAAGAGAGAGAGAGAGCGAGAGGATATAGAAGAACGATAAGGAGAAATACGGAGAGAGAGAGAGAAATGGGTGGGACGGTGTTGAAGGGTCGAAGCGACTCAACGGCTCGTCGACTGGGTGAACCGGGGTTGAGAGGCTCGAGCGAGGGTTTGGAGGTTTCAGCCTCGATAATGAAATGGATGCCCTCGGGTGCGAGTGGGGGAAGTATGGAGTGTGAAACCCATTCGCAAATTAACCTTACTTATTCATTAACGCTAACGAGCCGCTTTCGCTACGCGCTACGAGTTAAACAAACGCCACCGTCTGCTCTCCCATTTACGTGGACTCTCTTAAAGTCTATTCGTTTTCTCCGTTCTCTTAAGTCTCATATCTGCCATGGACATTCGGTCCCTTCGCGTGCTTCCCGTTTCGGACGTATTCGTGTAAACCGCACGTAAGCGTAATAGAGGTCGTCGCGGAGGGAAAGAAACAGGAGACTTGTAATTCAATCCGAAAATTTATTTCTAATGCGAATATCAATACTGAACTGATGAGCTATTAAAAAAGATATATTAAGAGAGAGACGAGAAGAAAATGAGGGAGCGAGACAATGGGCGGGACACGGTGAGAGGAGAAGTGGTAAGGCCATTCACGAGGATATTGGCATAAGCATTAGTATCAGTACGGGTTCCTGTGATAGTGTCTCTTGGTGTAATATGCGTTCCCGCCAGCCTCGCATAAATCACTTCTCGCAATATCACGGGACTCCCAAGAATACTCGAATGGAGATCAGGAAAAGTTGAAGGAGTTGGCAAGGTTAAAGATTGAAGTTTCAATGTTCAAGCTTATAGGTTATGGGTCGTATAGGTTTTCAAGGCATCTTCGATGGGCGAGGAGTCGTCGCGTGCAAATAAAGATTACTGGCAGCTACCGTGTTCCCCATAAGTCGCGTATTGCGTGAATGGATTGCTTATGAAACGACCTCTTATCCCCGTAGTAAGGTTACGTCTAATATTGTAACACCCAGTAGTGCCGTCACGTGGAGGCTAACGTTAAAAACGAGCTTCTCCCCAGGAAGGAATCTGATAACTGAGATCCATGTATTATGGAGTCGCACACTTCTACGTGATAAGGTGTCATGTGGGTAATAACAATAACAGTAAGGTAAGAATTTCATAAACCATACGGTATTTTTCGATCGTTAAAAAAAAAAAGTGGAATATATAACAGCTACGACACAGGATTTCATGACGTAGCGAAGTACTTATAAAATATCAAAATGGCTTTAACATTAGAATTCTTAAGAATTTGACATGAGGGATGAACATAAACATAACCTATAATAGTAAACGTGCAATGCGTACATACAGTGCGGAATATATATATATATATATAATACGTTTACATTGTGCAGCATCCAAGTAGAATAAAGCGATCACGTATAACATTTAAAAGGAATATTCGCTTATTCTTCTCAAATATTGTACATACGTGTACTCTCGCACGAATAGAGTTTTCATCTGTCATTCAGTGCCTATCTACCTCTCATTGCTCTTTCTCCTATATAAACTTGTCTCGTGCGAACAGCCCGCCATCTAGTAGTGTCGCTTTGAAGTTTGTAGTTGATTCGTCGCCAATCGTTCCAACATGCTTTGACAATGCATATCACGGTAAATTCAAGTGCAGAATGTAGCCGCAATGGTCGTTACGTAACGGCAACTCTGAAAACAGTATATGTATAATGTGGTATTACGAAGCATAGAGCACACAACACCGAGTGGGTCCCCTTTCGTGAATTCGGTTCGTTTGATATCAGCTAGCAGCTAGCCAGTCAGTCAGTCAGTCAGTCAGTCATACGTACGTACAGCTGGTTGACAAACGTGACACATACTCAACCCCTTTCATCGAATTTCCCCATTAACGCTTTTGGCTTAACAGAATCTCTCTTTATTTAATACCGTACACCGATGGCGCTACTATCAGTACCTATTTACTTCCCTGCAGGCAATTATGAATACTTGCATTGACGTTGCCTTTAACGGTAATACTGGAATTGACATTGGCGTCAGCGCTGGTGTGAATATGATTTTCGAATGTGGCACAGTGCGAATTTATGTGATATATTGTGAAAAATATAAATTGCAGATCAGTCCCGTGATATTCTTCCATTCTCACGGGTATCGCCAGACGAGTGTCAAAGGTCAACTAATTGCTGTGGTATGATGTGAACAGTGAGAGGCGCAGAGAAAGAACCCATTCGATAGGAATCCAGTGCGCGGGATACTAGCATAATTTTCTAATTAACCGCTGCGAGAATCACGGTTACAATTTCGTAAGCAACGAAGCGACGCTCGGCAACTATTAATTAAATGGGCGTACGCGGTTTGCCGGTGGCCCGAGGGTTGGGCTGCTGTGCCGCTGTAATTGTGAACGAAACTATGCATAGGCGAGAGGGAGGAAAAGGGAGGAGAGCGAGAGAGAGAGAGAGAGAGAAAGACAGACAGAGAAGTTCGATGGTCCAGTCTCTGTCTTTGTCTCACCAACACACGCGCCACAGGGACACCGTCGCTATAGCCAGCACTTCCCCATTCCTCCAACCCCTAACTTCACCGGTTTGTCCAAGCTTCTCTCGCTCTCTCTCTCTCTCTCTCTCTCTCTCTCTCTCTCTCCTCTCTTCTATACCCTCTCTTTCATTGTGCGCTTACACGCTTGGTGCACGTGCTAACTTTTCCTTTCCAGCCGTTGATTTCAATATCGCCCAGTCTTGGCATCTCTCACCAATCGCCCTGCCAGGCGAGAGACGAGCTTTTTGGATGATCAATGGTCAATGGTCAACGGTCAATGAGAGCAGCAGCCCATTTCGGATCGCTTCTCAACTATTTCAATCGCCTGTGAATTACTGGACGATCCTTCCAAGAGGTCATCTCGTGGTCTTACGCGACCTTTCGGATAAACGAATAAAGGGTTGTAAGGGACGTACGGCTGAATGCGTATACGTGCTTTATCGACGTCACAGGTATTAATTTAATTATATTAAATTTAATGATTTTCTTCCGTAATATGATTTAACGTTGTTAAATTTAATGTGACGCGAGGTTCGTGTTTAATAATGTTACCTTGTTCGTTGCCAGGGACAACCGATGATGTTTGTTGATGGGTATGACAATGGTATTTCAATAAATATTCATACCAGTTATTACCGATTGAAACTTGAAAACTCAAGATGGGAGACGCAAGACAATGAATGGGGTAGTGGAAACAGATGAAGAACAAAGGAGGCTTCTTCCAGTCGTATCGGTATTATTAAGACGTAGCACAGGGGTTATTGCGAGCTAGTTGGTTGGTTAGCTCGTTTCGAAGTTGTTGAAGCTCTACTATTCAGCGAAGCGAACACTGAACGTAACCGAGAAGATCCGAGCGACTTTAGTCGTTAAGCAAGCCTCCGGGCTACGCGTTCGGAGATGCCTCCGTTTTCCAGGAATCCCATCAACTTTTCCCTACTCAACTTTCCACGCGTATCCCCCTCTTTTCTCATTTTCGTTTCTGTGGGTGTGCTTCGATTAAGTAGAAGAAAAAAATGAGGAAGGACAAAGATTAGCAAGTGGATAAATTATTCGTTCATTGGTTACGAAGAATAACAGGCTCCTCGTATTGACATGGTTTAATCAAACTTCTCTACTGCGGCTGTTGAAGCTGTCTTTCAGTTGGTTAAAGTAAAATTAAAAGAAAAAAAAGTCGAAATCTTGGCTATTAAGGAAAATAGAGTTTGTTAGTGTTAATGACGGGATTGAATCATATAGGTATTAGGTACTTGGAGATACATCACTGGATGGCGGATGGGCGAACGCTTGGGGTGGCATCCTTTACTGCAGCCTGAAGAGACAGATGGCTCGATGGATGCGCCGCGGGGTGGCGGCCAAGTGAGAAAGGAAGAAAAGAAAGAAGCGAGGCAAGGATGAAAGTAAAAAAGGGAAGTAGACAGGTCTTTAAGAGGAAAAGAGAAAAACGTGATACTTGGAGGCTTAGCGCGTCCCAATTTTCGGGCCAATAAATTCCAATAACGTTCGATGCCTTTAAAAAGTTCGTACATCACTGCCTGAATCTTCTTTCGATTTATATTCGAGGAACTCAACGTACCGATAACTCTTTTTCCGTTTCTTTCCTCTGCTTCTCTTGCTTCGTCCTTCTCCGTCCATCCTCCCAGCATTGCCATCACAAAGTATTTTAAGGATCGTCAAAGAGCCGATTTCGGCTTGTGGATATCTGCATTTTCCAACGTCAGCAATTTCGTCTCCCCTATCGGCCACGAGACCAAATAAGAACCAAGCATGATCCAGGATACCGAAAATGGTCGAAAATAATGGCTGAAAGTTAAAATAAGAAAAAAATGGAATTTTTATTGCCTCTACGTAAATTGTAATGCTTCTTTTGTTTGTGCCGTTCGTACGCTGAAGTCTCTTTTTTTCACAGGTTATGTCGTCAGCCTCTTTTGAACAACTGACAAGCGGCATACGAAGACGTCAAAAACAACGAAGGAATTGGATAACTGGGTGCGATTCGAAAATGGAGTGATTTACGAAGAGACACGAAAGTAAAGAAGGTCTCACTGCTATTGGACATTTTTTCTTATTCGATGAATTCTTTTGCACATCCGTCTTGGCTTTGATCGCATTCAGTGCTGCGTGAGACGATTCGACGTAAAACAACCGAGGATTCGCGTGTCAAAGAACAAGATCAATCTGTAGGTGCACGCGACGGCGCCATAAAGCGAGCATAACGAGATTGGAACGTGAGCTCGTTTGAGAGGAAAATCGTAGCCGTGTTTGAATAGCTCGCGCATTTTAATGAGCGTGTTATTGTGTTACTGGACATTTTATTTGTCACGTTATTTACAGAAAACGTGCGCCCCGTTTTATCGATTGGCTCTTTCGTAGCTGCAGGCAACGGCGCTGAAGCCGAAATGATGATTGAGCTGGAAGCCGGAAGCTGTGCCGTGGCGAAAATGCGGTGAGGCGACGGGCAATTTAAGAAGCGTAAGAAATGGAGGGAGCGGAAGGAACGGAAGGAACATTCGGGGAAGATGGAGCAGAATGAAACGGAAGGAGCGGCGGCGGTGATCGAGCGGTCGCGACTTAATGAAACTCTTAAGTGTCGACTATTAATATGGCTTCCGAGTTCCAAGCCGGAAGTTTTCGCGAGCTCGCGAACGGAATGGAATTTCCCGTTATTTGCGCGACAACTGCCATGCGCTATTTCAGCAATTATAGAGCTAATATTGTCAGCCATAAATCACGTGGAAAATGATCGTTAACGCTCATTGGTTTATCAACGCCGTGACGCTTCGCGCGTCCCTTCCAATTTCCAACATGCTACCTCGGCACGGACTCACAGGACTCTGGAACACGTCGCTGGATTTCTCATGTGGCAAAGGAATCATGAAGCCCGTCAAATAAATAGACGGATGCACAGCTAACCGGATATCGGCTTCCTTTCATCTTTCGCATCTCCTTTTTCCTCTTTTTATCCACTTTGTCCAAAAATTCACATGTTTTACCAAGGACCAGAATGAAATAGAGAGACCTTGTCCGTACTCCGGCCTGAGCCACGCCTTCCTGTTATCATCCCTCTCCTGAATACGACCCCTAACGCACATCAATGTTCTTTACTTCGGGTACCAGCTCATATAACCCGTATCTCTTCTATTTTTATCACCATTCCTAACATTTCTCTTTATTCCACAGCATTCTTGACTATCGTGTCCCAAGTGCCGTGCACGTAAGGATCCTGGAATAGATCAAGGAGAATCTGAATAATGATGTATTAATGCATGACGTAAGGTTCGTAGAACGTGTATATATAGATCGTCCGATGAGCACTTACCGCTCATCAACACTTTCGCTCTCCTTTCCGTTTCCACCCTCGTTGTTCTTGGATTAAAAGAACCCGAGCGACCCGGTTAACAAGACTGCTTAACTTTTAATGAGCTCGATGAGCTAATTACCAGCTCGTAGAACGAGACTAACGGTCTTCGAAGCAGAAGCAGTCTTGATGCGGATGACGGTGTGTGAGTGTCTCGAGCTGCTGGGTGCTGGTTGACGTAGGAAGGAGATGGAGATGAAGAAAAATAGAGAATTGAAGGAAGCGGAAGGTGGGTCTCACCAAGCAAACGCCATGACACTCTCTTAAAGACTCATTATAAACATTTCGAAGTATGACACTGCTGGCGTCGGGGTTGTGACAGTCTCGACGGCTGCCGACTCCTCCCTTCTGTTAAAATAATTCAAGCAGATATTATGTCATGTTAACCGGCAGAAGATAATCTTTCTTTGAAGGACAAATAATAGCAGCTGGAGGATTGCACGATTCAAGCATTCAGGGAACGTACCGTTGGCACCGAGGGACGCGGGGGAAGGAACTCCATCCAGGAATGCCGTCGTATAGAGAATCGTTTAATGTCACTGACATCTCAAAGAGTCCGAGTATCGATTGTGTCTGCATGTATAAACCGACGCATTGTGTTGGGAGCTGCTGTTGAATAGGGTGGAATGGTATGGAAGCAGCTATCGAGTGGTATGAAGTAATGCGAAGTGGCGGAAGGAAAGGAGAATGAAGGACGAGGAGCGAAGAGCGGGAAGCTGTATGGTGTAGCAGAGGTTAGAGTTCGAGGGAAGGTAATATAGCGGCCGTTTGTCGCTCGAGGTGTCAAATAAACGCATCGAAGGTGGCCCGAGGGGGTTGGAAATGGTGGCAGTAGGTGGCGAAAAGGTAGCGTGAGCGAATGAACGTACGATCCCTTCTTTGCCGTCGACGTCGCGACGACGCTTGTTCGTGCTACTAATCTTCAGGCGAGCGTCACATTCCGGCAACCCTTGTCTGACGCGACGCCCTGTTTAGAATAATACATTCAGTCAGCCTCGTCGCTCGGGCAACGAATAATCTTCGGCTTGTATCTATATATAGCTATATTAAATGGTTAAAGTTCGCAGGGTGTTCACAAGAGTTCTTTTATCTCTCACCAAGTTCACCGAGTGTCTGAACTTGATAAAAGTGTTTTTCTTTCCGGGAGTTTTTCCCGAAAAAAGCTTTGTCTCGGGTTCGTCATTGACGAGCGTCTCTCCCGCTGTTATTGTCACGGTTGCACGGCGACGCGAGCGCCCCTCGCGGACGACTCTGTACTATCTGCCGTCAGGCCTAAACCTGTTCCTCGCACTTCACGCCATCTGTCCACGTACGTCTGTGACTCTGTGGGAACTCGCGGTTGGTCCATGTGATTAGATTTAATAAAACAATTGAAACTGTCAAATCAGTCATGTTGGTACAGAACAAATCCCGGGAAGTCAAGTGACGGTTACCCTTGTACGTATATGGATATAGATATACGGATAATTGTACAGGTAACTACGGAGCTATTAATTTAGAATTACCGTCGGCCCTGCCGCTCTTGATGCTGATACTAGGAAGTTCATAATACGGAAATTAAAAGTATATTACGCTACCCGTGGATATGAGTATATTGTATGAGGGTTGAAGTTCCGTGGGATCAACCGGCGGATGGGACTATACAGAAGGCGCGTGGGTGGCGCGGACCCTGTGGAAAAAAAGGGTAGGTTATGGAAGATAGAAGAAGTGAGAGCGGAGTTGGAGTGCTAACTTTTCTTATAAGATCTAAAGTTTTCGCGTGTGAAAGTCTCCCGGTGAGCTGCGCCGGAAAATATTAGAGCTTTTAAACGTCGTTATTAGTTTGCCCCGTGAGTCGAATAACTTTGGAATTTTTCGCCTCTTGCGGTTGCCCATCCGATACCCTCTTGTCATCCGTATCCAATGTCAAAGTCAAAGGTAACGCTAGCATAAAATCTTTACACTTTTTTCCTCCACTAGTCGAATCACGTCACTAGATTCATATCAGTTTGGCAATGGGCTAGATAACTTTTAACGCTATCAAGTTAGATACGGTAAGATTAACAGGTTATGTATGTACTTACAAGAGTAATCGCTCACTCGCTAATAAATCCCATGATTAAGAGTACTTAGTAACTTTCGAAGGACGGTTGGGATCTTTTTCGACACCTTCCTTTCCCATTTCACCCCTCTGTTTATTCGCGAAAAAAAAAACTTGTATAAAAGCACGAAAATGAGACTCAGTCTACGAGTGCCCGAGGAAAGTATTGACAGAATTTCTTCTCATGAAAATACAAGGGGGTGCACGCGATCGAGTTATTGGCTATAAAACGGAATACAGCCTCCAGGAAATAATGAAGTTAATAGTTAGTCCGGAAACTGGCTCTGGCTACGTAACGCCAGTGAATCAGTCGACCACCCAGTCAAGAGCAGCCAGGCCAGACGGAGACTGGCTATTGGATCGAGAAGGCAGTGGAAATAGTCGTGCTCTCGAAGCTGCTGTACGAATTATAGAATATGAACGAGAAGTGATTGACGACGAAGGGTGTAAAGGCACGCGTTCTCGCCTAGCTGTGAGAGAAAGAGAGTTAAGGGGACTATGCGAATGGGTAAGGAGAAAGCGAGATCGAAAGTGAGATGTAAAGTATACCTATAGGTGCGTCGGGACGCCGGTAAGCTGGTGGTTGCACCTGCGTGCGAAGAGCTTACGCTTTAGCCGCGTCGATTCAGCCCGTATCGATTACGAACTGCGTATCGCTCTTCCTGCTCTGGGGTATAGCGTTATCGTACGTAACTTTAGCGTAGCGCCAGAGAGTGGCGCAGCGTTGCGCATCTGTACGTTAACGCGAAGTAGCATACCGTGTTGGGCTGTAAAGACTTTTCAAAGGGTACTTTAACTACATTACAGGAAGTGAAAAGTTCGAGCTAGAAGTTTTTTGCCAGGGAGACTCGTAAATATCGTAGCAGTTATAGAAGGTTCGATAGGTGAGAGGTCGTGGACGATGAGGTAGGTAGAAATTGATTAATCATAGTTTCCGGCGAGAGGAAACGACATCAGTCAATGCTGGGAAGCCACATTGGAATGTTCAATTGGTGGAGCCGTAAGCAGCTGGTTCAACTTGGTTTCTGTATGTTTGGGAGTAACGTTGCTGAAGCATGACTCAGTGGGGGGGGTCTTTGTCTTTTGTGGTACTGGATAAGAAACGAAGTTTTCTAGGATAGAATTTTTGCGAGAAGCAACGTTTCTTGGGAAACGTCTCTTTTCCGGTACTACTGGGATTCCCGTTCTTATCGACTTAAAGCTCACCGTGTGGCTGCTATCTCTTGACACGATGGCAATACTTTCCTCTTTCACCACTCTCTTCGCTATACCACCTGCGATTTCCTAATGTGTTGACACGCTCTGTGATGTTTGTCAAACACGTAAATTGGCAAATTCAACGGCAAGCAGCTTTTCGCGAAAGCTCAACAGCGGCAAGGTATTCCTGCCTGCCGGAGTAATAGTCGCTTGAATTTTTCAAAAAAAAAAAAAAAAAAAAAAAAAAAAAAAAAAAAAAAAAAAAAAAAAAAAAAAAAAAAAAAAAGGTATCAGACGTATCACAATCATACGTAGTATCAGGATTTGTTGTTAATTTAATTTAGAATCGATTATATTATCTGTCAAAATTTTGAAAATATTTCAGAAAATCGTATCGTGGTCACCTATGGTCATTTAAAATTAATAGGAATCGACGTTACCGACCGGAACGCCAGGATGGCGATGAACGATGGGCAGGGCCTGCTGAGCTTGTAAACGGACGTAGATCTCGTCGACAGGGCAAAAGAGAGTTCAGGCAATGAAGGGATGTCTCAGGAAGGAAGTGAAGATGGCACATGGGGTGGTGGTTGGGAGGATGAGTAAAATTTGGGGGGGG